TATGACTTTTCAAATCACCCAGGATTGCTATCTGCAGTGTTAGCTCCAGGTAAATGTTGCATTCCTGGACCTGTGACCAAAAACAAGCTACATATGGATAGTACCAAAATAAATGATCTAAGGACTCTGTCTCTTCTCAACAAAATCTGCAGAGCTGGGAAGGCTGTAGCCTCCATATATATAACATTCTATTGGTAGCAAGAATTTTGTATAATAATTTAAATTGAAAAATTCTAAGTTTTGAATCCGGCGTTGGTTATGCGTATCAGTTCATAAACCATGTGCCATGGAATCGGTACATCGAAAATCTCTTCCTAACTATTTTGCAATCTATATGGCACAGCTGTCCATTTTTTGGTCCCTAAATTAAACTGGTATATTTTTTTATTTATCAATTTTAATTTAGCCAATTTTGGTCTTTAATGCAGGGCTTTTTTTTGTATTTTTGTATTTTTGTGGTAATGCTGCAAGTAGTTGGTTGTAATTTTGGGTAGAGCAGACATTTCCATATATTTTTGTTAGCTGCTTGTGTGACATAACTCCACTAGTCCTATTTATGATATAATTTACAAAGATTATACTTTTATTTTTAATTTTTATAATGTTTTTTTTATCAATTAGTATATTTGAGTTTAACCACAATATTTGTTGTATTATTTGTTCTGTCTTTTCTGGTGGATTAAACTGAAATTGCAACCAACTTTCTATGGCTTGTTTTAAAAATAACTATATTTTGGAGATTATTTCGTTTTCAAGTAACCGAAAGTGAGAGGTTGTAATCAGAATAAAGGGGAAAAGGCCATTCTTGAACATGGGGTGAGACATTCTTACTAATTTGCTAGAGAACCAGTTCGGATTTAAGTATAACTTTTGTATGACTGACGCTTTTAGTCAAAGGTCTAATGCTTTAATATTTAATCATTTCTGCCCTCCGAATTCATATACATTTTATAAATAGGCACTTTTTAATTTTGTCTGGCTTGCCATTCCAAATAAAATGGAATATGTTTGGCTCATATAATAAAATAAAAAAAACAGGTTTCTAAGTGTAGGCAAGACCATAAGCAAATAGGTAAACTAGGATATGACTGAGTTAATCAGGGTGATTCTTCCACAAATAGACAGGTATTTTCCTTTTCATGGTAGCAATTTTTGCTAACTTTCTATGAAAATGTATTGGAGTGAGATCATTTCTTTCTTTCAGGATATGTATGCTGAGTATGTCCACATCCCCGTCAGACCATTTTATTGGTGAACTACACAGTAATGTAAAAGTTGTATTTTTTAGTGATCCAATACGGAATATAGTACACTTATCATAATTTGGTTTTAATCCAGAGATGTTAGAAAAGGTATCTAGATCCTCTATGAGGCTGTGGAGGGATCCACATTGTGGATTTAAAAGAAAACATGAATCATCAGCGTACAATGACACCTTTGTTTTCAAGCCCTGGATTTCTAACCCCTTAATATTATTGTTGGCTCTGATTTTAACAGCTAACATTTCAATGGCAATAATAAATAGATATGCCGATAGTGGACAACCTTGTTTTACTCCTCTTGACAGTTTAAAACTTTCTGAGAAGTAGCCATTATTTACTATTTTACACATAGGTTACCATACATAACTTTAACCCATTTTATAAGAGATTCTTCAAAATTGAAATATTCCAGGCATATTAAAACTCCAGTCGTTATTTATCAAAGGCCTTTTCAAAGTCAGCTATGAATACCAGGCCTGGTTTCCCAGATTTTTCAGTGTTCTATTGTTTCCAGTACTTGTCTTATATTATCTCCAATAATATAATAATAAAAATATGCCATTTAGCAGACGCTTTTATCCAAAGCGACTTACAGTCATGTGTGCATAAATTTTTACGTATGGGTGGTCCCAGGGATCGAACCCACTACCCTGGCGTTACAAGTGCCATGCTCTACCAATTGAGCTACAGAGGACCACATGTATCGTCCATGTAAAGAACCTGTCTGATTAGGATGAATAATATCCGACAACACCTTTTTTATTCTATGCGTTAAGCATTATGCTAGGATTTTATTTGCTAGGATTTTTTACACTGAAGTGCAAAAGGCCTCCAATTTTTTTAATGGACTGGATCTTTATATTTACCACTTGGATCCTGTTTCAGTAATAATTAAATCAGACCTTCTTGTTGAGTGTCTGATAATTTACCATTTATATAGGAGTGGTTAAAACATGCTAATAACGGTCCTCTGAGTATATCAAAAAAGGTTTGGTATACCTCCACTGGTATGCCATCAAGCCCTGTAGTTTTCCTGGACTTAAAGGCTTTAATTGCATCAAGTTCCTCCTCTGTAATTTGGCCTTCACATGAGTCTTTCTGTACAGTTGTTAATTTTACATTATTAATAGAAAAAAAATCTATACAATTAGCTTCGGTTAGTGGAGATGGAGGAGACTTGAAACGAAAACATATTCTTAAAGTACTTTACTTCCTATTTCAAAATATGGGTGACTCCGTCATTTGTAACACGTTTTAGTAAATTATTTTTGGTAGCATTTACAGTGGGGAAAAAAAGTATTTAGTCAGCCACCAATTGTGCAAGTTCTCCCACTTAAAAAGATGAGAGGCCTGTAATTTTCATCATAGGTACACGTCAACTATGACAGACAAAATGAGAAAAAAAAATCCAGAAAATCACATTGTAGGATTTTTAATGAATTTATTTGCAAATTATGGTGGAAAATAAGTATTTGGTCAATAACAAAAGTTTCTCAATACTTTGTTATATACCCTTTGTTGGCAATGACACAGGTCAAATGTTTTCTGTAAGTCTTCACAAGGTTTTCACACACTGTTGCTGGTATTTTGGCCCATTCCTCCATGCAGATCTTCTCTAGAGCAGTGATGTTTTGGGGCTGTCGCTGGGCAACACGGACATTCAACACCCTCCAAAGATTTTCTATGGGGTTGAGATCTGGAGACTGGCTAGGCCACTCCAGGACCTTGAAATGCTTCTTACGAAGCCACTCCTTCGTTGCCCGGGCGGTGTGCTTGGGATCATGCTGAAAGACCCAGCCACGTTTCATCTTCAATGCCCTTGCTGATGAGGTTTTCACTCAAAATCTCACGATACATGGCCCCATTCATTCTTTCCTTTACACGGATCAGTCGTCCTGGTCCCTTTGCAGAAAAACAGCCCCAAAGCATGATGTTTCCACCCCCATGCTTCACAGTAGGTATGGTGTTCTTTGGATGTTCTTGTGATCATTTTGACCCCACGGGGTGAGATCTTGCGTGGAGCCCCAGATCGAGGGAGATTATCAGTGGTCTTGTATGTCTTCCATTTCCTAATAATTGCTCCCACAGTTGATTTCTTCAAACCAAGCTGCTTACCTATTGCAGATTCAGTCTTCCCAGACTGGTGCAGGTCTACAATTTTGTTTCTGGTGTCCTTTGACAGCTCTTTGGTCTTGGCCATAGTGGAGTTTGGAGTGTGACTGTTTGAGGTTGTGGACAGGTGTCTTTTATACTGATAACAAGTTCAAACAGGTGTCATTAATACAGGTAACGAGTGGAGGACAGAGGATCCTCTTAAAGAAGAAGTTACAGGTCTGTGAGAGCCAGAAATCTTGCTTGTTTGTAGGTGACCAAATACTTATTTTCCACCATAATTTGCAAATAAATTCATTAAAAATCCTACAATGTGATTTTCTGGAATTTCTTTTCTCAATTTGTCTGTCATAGTTGACGTGTACCTATGATGAAAATTACAGGCTTCTCTCATCTTTTTAAGTGGGAGAACTTGCACAATTGGTGGCTGACTAAATACTTTTTTTCCCCACTCTATATGTTGAAGTTTAAAAAATAATTAGGTGCATTTTTCCCCATATTCCATCCAGTTCGCTTTATTTTTATAATATATTACACTTGATCTTTCTTGAATAAGTTCCTCCATTTCTTTTTGTTTTTCCTCTAACTTTTTCTGAGCCTCTGTGGTAAAGTTTGTATTGCTATCTATCTGTACTGTTAGTCCTTCCATTTCCTTTGTTAATATGGACTCTCTTGACCTAAATTGCTTTTATTTTAGAGATGAGAACTGAATTGCATGGCCTCTAAAGGCACATTCTAAAGTCCCATACAATAAAGGGATCTACTGTACCTATGTTATGTCAGAAAAAGTCAGTTATAGATTCTTCTGTCCTAGTTAAAAACAAGTTATCATCCAATAGGCTTTGATTAAATTTCCAATATCCTCACCCACGTGGTCCGACCACATTCTGTCCCCTATGAACACTTTTTAAACTTTTGGTGCCAGAGAGAATGACATAAGAAAGTAATCAAGACAACAAGCTTGATTGAGCCTCTGCCATGTATATCTCACTAGGTCAGGATATTTAAGCCTCCATATATCCACTAGTTCCAATATATCCATGATATTCGTGATTTCCTTAACATCTTAGTTAGATGTAACCAAACATCTTAGTTAGACGTAAAATTGTGCTACTAAGATCTCCACGGCAAAAACATCACAATGAATTACATATTTCTTGAGTTACCTTAAATTAATTCTGACTATTTTGAAGAAGTGGCTATGGCGTCTCAAGATGGACAAACAGTACTATTTATGCTTTTTTCTCATTTTTCAAGCTACGGTCTTTTAAGGGAGTATGCGAGCACACTCCTTCGGTTCGCTTAGCTGAGTTCGGCTAGGCGCCAGCGGAAGGCTTAAGTGGGGTCCTGGCCTTGTGAGTCCTGGCTGGCTGCAAATGAGACCTGAGGTGAAGTGAGGCGCATCTTCCTCCACGTCCTCGTGCTCCCTCATCCTCCATGTTGTGCTCTGGGACGAGTGTGTGTGTGTGTGTGTGTGTTTGTGTGTGTGTGTGTGTGTGTGTGTGTGTGTGTGTGTGAGGGGTTGAGCTCCGGTAGATTCTGAAGGCGATTGTGTAGGGGTGTGTTAGTCTCGAAGGGGGTAAGCTCTGGTAAACCCCTAAAGCAGTGTGTGAATGTGTGTCTCAGGGTCTCCAGGGGGCTGCTCGTCATCGAGCTTTACTGCTGTCTTACCAGGGGCGGACTGGCCAAGGTTAGTCAGTCAATTGAAGCCTCAGTGGTTGGATGGGAACAGGGGTCCCACAGCGTACTGTCCCCTATTCCCTGTGAGACCCTCCAAAGTGTCTCTCCTCCCTAATTGGAAACACATATGCCAAGAGGGACCCTTGACCCCTGTTTGAAGAGGGGAGATGGGGGAAGTGACTCCCTAATGTCTCTAGGAGAGAAGCTACTGTCCCACAGGGAAGTCTCTTTGTGTAGCCTCCATAATGTAGTACTGAACCTCCTTATAGTACCTCGCTTGGCCCTCCCCCTCGCTCCACGTCCCTGCTCTACCATTTAATTTACTCCTCAGATTTGTTGGGGAGGGCTGGCGTGGCGGAAGTGTGGGCTGTGTGTCTGCACGTCACAAGGGAACGCTGCATGGAAATCCAATCAGAACGAGAGAGCGGGACAGGACACTCCATCCCGACTGGACTTGTACTTATGTGGCGGGAAACACACAGGCAGTGGAGCCAGTCCTGGGAACTACAGGGGTGATGGTGATTGTGTGTGTGTGTGTGGTCATTGTGTGTGTGTGTGTCTGTGTGAGACTGAGCATGGTTAGTGGCAGGAATGCCATCAGTGTGCAGGGGGGATCACTGTGCTTCTTGCTTCTTGCTCTATCTCTATCCCTCCCTCTCTCTCTGTGTGCTATTGAACTGTGGGGAAACTGGCTTTACTGTGGGGAAGTCCCAGAGCGAAATGGGAACCAATTCCCTGGGGAACGCATTATTATTGCAACGCATGTTGCAGTTGAAAGACTGTTGGGAGGCAATAGTTGATTTTTGTCATTTGTAGCCTCTGAAGTGGTCGTTGGAACACAGACTGAGTTTACAGCCCTGAAATCATGGGTTTTCACTTCAGACAATAACAGGGAATTTATTTAAGGAAGCTGTAAGCCACAGCCCTATTAGTCCATATGCATAAATCACATGTGATGCTTTGAAACCCTTTTATGGTGTACCTCAGTGCTGTGTCTGTGAATGAGATATAGCCATTGACCACTCAACTGCATAGAAATACATTGAACGCCTAAGTAACTAACTGCATGTACAGTATAACAGGCGGAAGTCCTTTTTTACTATTAAAAACCGTTTTTACTATCCCTGTGTGGCCTCTTCAAGTCAAGCCCTGTTTGTTATGCTAGCTGAGTTACATGTTAACATCCCACGGCCATTCACAGAGTAAATCCCCATCAAGTCAGGGGAATATTTATAAAATCTAGAAAACTGGAACTGTATAGTTGGTCAGCTTTTCCGTCAGTACATAATTTTTTTGTGTTTGGCCTCAATTATTTAGACAACTCAAATAAAGTTAGAAATGTTTACATACGCAGACTTTGCAATATGAAACCCAATACTATGCTTCTATGTAAATGAAGACTGTTAAGATTAATTTTACATTGTAAACTAATGGGTGCGGAGGGATACAAGATACATCAAAATTCGTCCTGCGTTCAGCTATCTCTCCTGTTAATTTGAATTCCTAGGTTTGACTGTTGCATGTCTCAGCCAGGTCTAACCAATTATGTTGTACCAATGATCTGATTTACAGTATGTGTGTATGGCTCTAACCTGTGTCTCTGCCCTGTGTGTGTTTGATAGTGGAGGCCGATAGAGAGATGTCGCCACACAGACTGCACCACAAGGAGTTCAAGTTCAACCTGTCCCAGATCCCTGAGGGAGAGGCCGTCACCGCTTCCGAGTTCCGCCTTTACAAGGAGTGTGTGAGCCGGACCTTCCGCAACGAGACCCTCCTGCTCAACGTCTACCAAGTGGTACAGGAGCACCCCAACAGGTAACACAGACACACCGATACACCCTGCATTCACTCACAGTCCAGTCTTTAGAATATGTAAATCTGGTGAAAATATGATCATATCATCATGCCCTTTTCACAGTCAAATAGCTTGGTGCTTGCTATTGTTATATACATGGGTTTACTTTATATCAGGGCTAGCTTGTTGTCAGTTGTACTGGTTGAAAGTGCTGCAGCGATGAAATGTTATCACATACATTTGAGGTATAGAAGTATAGTATTCGAAAGGGCTGCTGAGGCAAAATCCTCCATAAAACACGGACGGACCTCTATGGAATCCTCTCTCTAGTCCCCATTTGGTTATGCTCCCAATGAGCTGTCTGACACTGGGATGACATGAACAATACATTATAATACCTGACCCTAAGACTAAGTGAACACTGAGATATGATGAGACCATCCCATTCTCAACCTCCTGCTACGCTGTCCTCTTAGTCAGTCCTGAGCTTGTCCAGATGAGGGGAAAAGTATACTGTATGCAAAGGGAGGGCTTAGCTACATGCACATCTCCAGCCATTGATTACACGTTAGTGTAGCGTAGGCAGCATCCTCTCCTGGCCTGGGGATTGATAGGGTGTTGGTGAATTTAGCCAAGGCTCCTCTCTCTGTCGCTGTGGAAGACAGACTTCCAGATCTGGTTTTCTGGCATGTATTTTCTGTAGAATGAGGCATGACCACAACACCTTACTGAAATAGCTTGTCTTTAGTAGAGTCCTAAAAAGAGTAGCAAGGCCAACACAGGCCAAACATTTACATTGTGGCTGCTGGGAGAGACGTCCCACGCAGAGACAACGGCCAATGAGATAGCTGGAGGGTATATATATTTTTTAAACATTGACCAATGGGAGACGATGTAAGATTATGCAGTTGTTCATTGAGGCACTTTTCAAAAGCCACAAAGAGTTGCATAATATGTCCCAAAATGTTTGTCCCATGGCTTTGTAAAATGGGCTCTTCTCTGTTTTCCTCCTCATGTGTAGTGATGCAGTTGGATTATTACATTTGCCGTGTACGTTTATGGTTGTCTACAAGTCCTCAATTCAATTAAAGTTGTAAAGACAGTTGTTCTTTTTTACATTTTTGCTGGATTCTTCTTTTTCTCAAAGCGTTTCTATGTCTATCATGAGGTACTTGTTTGCCACATTCCTTTATCTTTACAATAGACGGTTTGTGCTCTGCTGCCCACAGGCAAAGCCTTTTTATTTAATCGTTTTGATATTTGGAGATTAAAGGGGCCATATATCTCCAATTATTGTAGGACAAGGTTTTACTTTGAAGCAAATTATATAGTTTGGTTCGTGGGCTCTCCGAGAAACTTGCTTTGTGCTTGCAAATCCTAAATACTTGTGCGGCTTGCAAAACACATTTGCTGACAAACAGATTAATTTGCAAGTTGTTCAAGTCTTGGAAGTTGTAATTGCTTTGATTATAGCTCCTAATCTTTAATAAGCGCACAAGTAGGGCTGAAGTTTCATAAAAGCCACAAGATAGGAAAAAAATATAAATCCTTGCATAAGGATTAATTTGCGACAGTAATGTCTCTGGTAGTTGTTCTTAAAGTCATGCAAAACTTGCCTCTGAAATCTGAAGTCAGCAGGCGGTCTTCAAACTCTGGGGTTTCCACTCCTCCCTTGTTTCCAGTTAAGAGGCTTCTGTTGTGACCCTCAGCAATAATGATAAGCTGTAGAATTATACTACAGTATTCACTTGATTGGGGTGGTTTGTTTGGCAGTACGCAAGGAATGCAAGGTCTTGCAGATAATGTTTTGATTGCAAAGAATGTGGCCTTAGTCAGTGCAAAAAATGGCAGGTTAATATGCACTGGTATGTGTTTATTTCCTTACTAAATAACATTACTACATAGGTCCACATTCTCTCTCAACAACACCCAATAAATCAGTACATATTTAGCATGGTGTTCTTGAGAACTGTGACGTAATTATTTTGTTTCCAAGTCTTGTCACCAGTCTAAAACTGAATGTACGTTAGAACAGGACAAGCCGTCTAAACAACAGCCCGATATGGTGCATTTTTAACTGCATTAATTTGACAGGGCCAGTAAAGGAGATTTAGTGGAACCAAAAAACACAAAACGTTGACATATGACCTTATTATTCCAGTTCATTTAAGCAGTCAATAAGAGGCTTTACAGTAGAGCTTTAGTGCCACATCCCCCTGTGGCTCCCAGATGGACCCCCTGCCAGTCCACGGGCTTTAAAATGGCTGCCTCGATCAAAATGAGTCAGCACCGACCCACCGGACCCACGCTGTGCCAAACGTGTGAACTACCTCGAGGGGGGCATTGGGAACGGCCTCATATGGAAGCCCTCAGAAACACTCTCATTAATGAGCAATAACAAGGGGCTGCCGATGCATGACTGCAGGGGCATTCCGGGAACACCTGGGAGTTTGTGGGGCTTTGATGTGTGGCCTTGGGAGGGCCCGGCAGCCTTGCACTCTCTTTACAGTAATGGGGATGTGACAGACCTCTTTTCTCTCCTTCTCTCTCTCTTTCATTGGGTTGTTGTTGTCTTTTGCACCTGAGACCTAGCTACAGTGGGGCAGGGCAGGGGAGTGGTGGTGGTGGGGTGATGTTACGAAGTAGAGAAATGTTACACAATGTAAAAAAATTGTCCTGTGTGGCTGAGTTGGTAGAACATGGTGCTTGCAACTTCATGATCATGGGTTTGATTCCTGCTGGGGCCACTCGTACGAAAATGTATACATGCACTACTGTAAGTTGCTTTGGATAATATAATATAATATATTATTACAAAGTCAAGTCAAGTGTCCCATAGACTCTTGATGTGCAGAAATTGGCAATCACAACCATACCAAAAATGTATTTGACATATTTTATTTAACCAGGAAGTCCCATTGAGGTCAGAAGACATCTTACTCATGTTTACAGAATAGGAATTAGCTAGGGAGCATGTTCTTAGTGTAAAGTGCCAAAATCCCTGAATGTAAGCTGTAAGAACACGTGAAAGTCATACTGACATGCTACAGTATCTGTTATGTTAGTGTACCGGTCTTTGATGTACATTTGTATACTTCTCTAAAGATGGGAAACCTGCTAGCTGCCCCTCAGTCATGGCTGCTTGTTGTGACCTGTGCCCCCAGGGAAGCAGACCTGTTCCTGCTGGAGTCTAGCAGGCTGTGGGCAGCCGAGGAGGGCTGGCTAGAGTTTGACATCACAGCCACCAGTAACCTGTGGGTGATGAGTCCCCACAACAACATGGGCCTCCAGATCAGAGTGGAGACCAGCAGCGGTGAGCACCATGCTAAATTAGAAACATATGATAACAGCTAACATTGGAAACATGAAAACAGCTAACATTGGAAACATGCTAACAGCTAACACTGGAAACATGCTAACAGCTAACATTGGAAACATGCTAATGGATAACATTAGAAACATATGCTAACGCTAACATTAGAAACAAATGCTAACAGCTAGCATTGGAAACATGCTAACTAACTTTAGAATTTTCATCTTGAAATGTTAACAATAGTGGGCAATAATAGTGTGGCTTTTTTAGACCACTTAATGGACACTCGACATCCATCAAAGGAAAAATACAGACATTTTTCACTAATATATCAGTAGGGTGTATGATACTCTTCCAGGTATGCTATGCTCAGTAAACTGTAGCCCATTCAGTGTGTCCAAGTGATTGACGGCTGGCCCCTCTGGAAAATAGGGCGGAGCATTAGCTCCAAGGAGGCGGGGCTAGTTGGGCGTGACGGAGCGCTGGAGAAGCAGCCCTTCATGGTGGCCTTCTTCAAAGTCAGCGAGGTGCACATCCGCACCGCCCGCTCCACCAACAAGCGCAACAAGAACCGCAACCGCCCCACCCAGCCCCAGGAAGGAGGCTCCAGGGGCCCAAGCCCAGCAGGTGGGTCCATAGTCTGACTAACACCCAGTTAAACCCTTTTCATTCTATCGTGCCGAGTGCCGACACAAACCGTACTGTGCTGGCTTGGATATCTTTTTTTTACATTGTCGTTTCCAGCGTGGTTCCAGCAATTATGGTGGATCCGTAACCATGCTAGTTCATTACAGCTCAGTAGTGTGAATAGTGTATAACAGTGTGAGGATTGGGTTTTGCTTTGTTTTACTTGTTTGCTCAATTCAGTACGTGGAAAGTTTCTTTGGATTTGTACATATTATTCACTGTTAGAAAATCAATCAATATTGTAGCTGGGGACTTTAACAAAGCAAATTTGAGGAAAATGCTACCGAAATTCTATCAACACATTGCCCGTAGTACTCGTGCTTCAAAAACTCTCCACCATTGTTAATGTCCCTTCCGGGATGGATAAAAGGCCCTCCCCCCTTCGGCAAATTAGATAACGACTCCATTCTGCTCCTCCCTTCCTATAGGCAGAAACTCAAACAGGACACACCCGTGCTAAGGTCTATTCAACGCTGGTCTGACCAATAGGAATCCATGCTTCAAGATTGTTTTGATCACGCGGACAGGGATATGTTCCGGGTTGCCTCTGAGAATAACATTGACGTATACGCTGACACGGTGACTGAAACCTGCCCAAACCAAAAACCGTGGATAGATGGCAGCATTCACGCAAAACTGAAAGCGTGAACCACCGCATTTAACCAGTATTCAGACCCTTTGCTATGAGACTCGAAATTGAGCTCAGGTGCATCCTGTTTCCATTGATCATCCTTGAGATGTTTTTACAACTTGATTGGAGTCCACCTGTGGTAAATTCAATTGATTGGATATGATTTGGAAAGGCACACACCTGTCTATATAAGTTCCCACAGTTGACAGTGCATGTCAGAGCAAAAACCAAGCCATGAGGTTGAAGGAATTGTCCGTAGAGCTCTGAGACAGGATTGTGTCGAGGAACAGATCTGGGGAAGGGTACCAAAACATTTCTGCAGCATTGAAGGTCCCCAAGAACACAGTGGCCTCCATCATTCTTAAATGGAAGAAGTTTGGAACCACCAAGAATCTTCCTAGAGCTGGCCGCCCAGCCAAACTGAGCAATCGGGGGAGAAGGGCGTTGGTCAAGGAGGTGACCAAGAACCCGATGGTCACTCTGACAGAGCTCCAGAGTTCCTCTGTGGAGATGGGAGAACTTTCCAGAAGGACAACCATCTCTGTAGCCCTCCACCAATCAGGCCTTTATGGTAGAGTAGCCAGATGGAAGCCACTCCTCAGTAAAAGGCACATGACAGCCCGCTTGGAGTTTGCCAAAATGCACCTGAAGGACTCACAGACGATGAGAAACAAGATTCTCTGGTCTGATGAAACAAAAATTGAACTATTTGGCCTGAATGCGAAGCGTCACGTCTGGAGGAAACCTGACACCATCCCTACGGTGAAGCATGATGGTGGCAGCATCATGCTGTGGGGATGTTTTTCAGTGGCAGGGACTAGGAAACGAATCAGGATCGAGGGAAAGACGAACGGAGCAAAGTACAGAGAGATCCTTGATGAGAACCTGCTCCAGAGCGCTCAGGACCTCAGACTGGGTCGAAGGTTCACCTTCCAACAGGACAAAGACCCTAAGCACACAACCTAGACAACGCAGGGGTGGGTTCGGGACAAGTCTCTGAATGTCCTTGAGTGGCCCAGCCGGAGCCCGGACTTGAACCCGATCGAACATCTCTGGAGAGACGCTCCCCATCCAAACTGACAAAGCTTGAGAGGATCTGCAGAGAATAATCTGAGAAACTGCCCAAATACAGGTGTGCCAAGCTTGTAGCGTCATACCCAAGAAGACTCAATGCTGTAATCGCTGCCAAAGGTGCTTCGACAAAGTACTGAGTAAAGGGTCTGAATACTTTCTTTTTTCAAAAGAAAAGCAATTTTTTTGTCCATTAAAATAACATCAAATTGATCAGAAATACAGTGTAGACATTGTTAATGTTGTAAATGGCTATTGTAGCTGGAAACGGCTGATTTATAATGGAATATCTACATAGGCGTACAGAGGCCCATTATCAGCAACCATCAGTCCTGTGTTCCAATGGCACGTTGTGTTTGCTAATCCAAGTTTACATTTTAAAAGGCTAATTGATCATTAGAAAACCCTTTTGCAATTATGTTAGCACAGCTGAAAACTGTTGTGCTGATTAAAGAAGCAATAAAACTGGCCGCCTTGAGACTAGTTGAGTATCTGGAGCATCAGCAATTGTGGGTTCGATTACAGGCTTAAAATGGCCAGAAACAAAAAACTCTCTTCTGAAACTCGTCAGTCTATTCTTGTTCTGAGAAATTATGGCTATTCCATGCGAGTAATTGCCAAGAAACTGAAGATCTCGTAAAACGCGGTGTACTACTCCCTTCACAGAACTGCGCAAACTGGCTCTAACCAGAATAGAAAGAAGAAGGTTATTTGTTTCTGGCCATTTTGAACCTGTAATCGAACCCACAATTGCTGATGCTCCAGATACTCAACTAGTTTCAAGAAGGCCAGTTTTATTGCTTCTTTAATCAGCACAACAGTTTTCAGCTTTGCTAACATAATTGCAAAAGGGTTTTCTAATGATCAATTAGCCTTTTAAAATGATAAACTTGGATTAGCAAACACAACGTGCCATTGGAACACAGGACTGATGGTTGCTGATAATGGGCCTCTGTTCGCCTATGTAGATATTCCATTAAAAATCAGCCATTTTCAGCTACAATAGTCATTTACAACATTAACAATGTCTACACTGTATTTCTGTTATTTTAATGGACAAAAAAAATCATTTTCTTTTGAAAACAAGGACATTTCAAAGTGAGCCCAAACTTTTGAACGGTAGTGTATGTAAATGTGATATTTAAGTTTTTTATTAATACATTTGAGAAAATTTCTAAAAACCAGTTATTGCTTTGTCAGTATGGGGTATTGTGTGTAGATAGGCCTCCTGTAGCTCAGTTGGTAGAGCATGGCGCTTGCAACACCAGGGTTGTGGGTTCGATTCCCACGGGGGGCCAGTATGAAAAATGTATGCACTCACTAAATGTAAGTTGCTCTGGATAAGAGCGTCTGCTAAATGACTAAAATGTCAATGTAAATGTAGATTGATGAGGAAACAAACAATTTAATCAATTTTAGAATAAGGCTGTAACGTAACAGAATTTGGAAAAGGTCAAGGGGTCTGAATACTTTCCGAATGCACTGTATATATTTGTACTCCAGACTCCAACATTGCTCATCCTAATATTTAGATATTTATTTTACTTTTAGATATGTGTGTATTGTTGTGAATTGTTGAATATTACTGCACTGCTGGAGCTTTGATCACAAGTATTTTGCTACATCTGCAATAACATCAGCTAACTGTGTATGCGACCAAAACAATTTGATTTGAATCAAACCCAACTGCACCGTACAACTACCCCACAACATCACACTTCACACTCACACAAAGCACAAGACAATATTCAAACATCTGCAAGCCGAGCAGGGAAGCTCTCGAAGCACCGGATTTGTGTAATATGGTGAGGTGTGCTGTCATTGATGGGGACATCTAAAACAAATAAAGAGACAGAGAGAGGGAAACTACCCCTAGATGCATGAACTCATCATTCGAGAGTGCACTTTACAGTACCTGCCCTCTGCCCCCGCTTCATACTTAGCGGCTGATGTTATGAACAGGTATGCAGGCAAATTAAATTAGGCTCTAATCCGGCTACCCGTCAGCCATCATCCCCTGGCTCCGTCATAACACTAGCATAACGTTAGCCTTTGCTGAACATAAAGCTGTCCCTGTGAGGGGGGATCCCAGTGCTTTTACAGCAGGAAGAGCTGTGATTCAGAGGGCTTTGTGGCTAATATCGGCCTGATCCCAGCACTAATTTGACGGATGAGGCCCGGGCTAATATTAAGCCCTTATGGCTAGGGCCACGGGGTCAGCTACTCAGCTTCGTAACCGTCGACGTTACAATAGCAGCTCAAGTGATTTCCCTCACTTCCTCAGTTTCACGTCATCTGTTTTGATGGCGATACCATCCAAAGGCTAGAGGTGTTGTTGGATTATATTAATCGGAGCTCTGCTGTTTTTTTTCCCGTTTCTGGAACACATCATAGTTCATCTTTATTTAACCAGGAGTCTGAAGTTATTCGTTTGTGGTTCCATCTCAGTGGTTCATCACACCAATCATTCTGTACAGAATCTGCCATATCTGCTTTGCTGTAGAGTCTAGAGTTCTAGACGTGACATTATGGCCATTCTCTTCTCAGTAGTGCAGTGTCGATCAGATAAAACCCCTCAGAACAGAACAGAGCAGGACAGTGGAGAACAGAACAGAGCAGGCTCCCAGACCCAGACCAGTGTGCTGGTGCTCAAGCTAATGAGGACAATCTGTTGAACCAACGTGTCCTGAAGGATAGGACTTTATGTAACCCAAAACATCAATCCCTCGGCCTCGCCACTTGGGATGTCTGGAGCGTAAATATTTAGATCCTGCGCAGGAAGTTGCGAGGCCCTTGTGACAGCAAGTGGCGATGATCAGGCGGACTTGCAAGGCATGTGGTTCCAATACCGCATCACTCACTCACTTCACAGGCTCTGAGGAAGAGAAGAAGGATAGATGGATAAAGGGAGCATCCTTCTTCTGTGCTGCTCTGAGGGAGAAACAAATAGGGACAGTGCCTCATTGTTTAGCATCTGATGGGACCACCATCGCCCCGTCTTTACAGTTTACAATTCATATAAACAAATCAATGTAGCTACACACCAGAATAATAGTATGCATAATGCTTAAGAAGACAACACACAGCCACAGCCAAGTCATGGGCTCTGTTCCAACATCCACACTAGCATACCACTTAAAATACATACCCAATACATTGCTTCATTCTAAGTGGTATGCTAGTATGAATATTGGCAAATAACCATGGGCTCATCATATAGGTGTCCTATATGCTAAACAATAAGCCTACAATTTTATTTTTTATTTTATTTTACCTTTATTTAACTAGGCAAGTCAGTTAAGAACAAATTCTTATTTACAATGACGGCCTACACCGGCCAAACCCGGACGACGCTGGGCCAATTGTGCGCCGCCCTATGGGACTCCCAATCTCGGCCGGTTGTGATACAGCCTGGAATCGATCCAGGGGGTCTGTGGTGACGCCTCAAGCACTGAGATGCAGTGCCTTAGACCGCTGCGCCACTCAGCAGAAGAAAACCCTATCCGACAAACAAAATCACACCTAAGTGTAACATACATACTGAGTTCCTTTGAGAGGGGAAGTTTGTACTGTAACTGTACGCTTGGAAACGAGAGAGAAAAAGAACAGTACGACACCTTTAAAGGACAGTACGACACCTTTAAAGAACTGTACTACACCTTTAAAGAACAGTACTACACCTTTAAAGAACAGTATGACACCTTTAAAGGTAATTTGGGGTTTGGGGCGGTAATGGAAGCCGGGCTTGGCCCTTTAACGACCTGTCCCAGACCTGTCATTACCCAGGCCAGTCATTAGCCGCTCGCTAAAAGACTGACCAAGTTAACAGTATTGCTTAAAGAATTCTAATAACACGGCGCTGTCCAGCTGTGTGTTTTCATCTCTGCCTCTCCTCCTCCAGTCTCCCTTTGTTTACTGTTGGTGTAATTAGACATTGGCGAGCTCTGCAGAGGGTTTAATAACCTCCCTGATGAAAGACAGGAAGAAAGATAAACTTCAGTAGAAGAGGGAGTGAGGGAGGGAGGGAGAAAAAAAACTACATGGACACAGACAGACAACAGTCACATTCTCTTTTAAGTCTTCATGGGAGTTTGAAGAAGCTAGCCCATTCTCTCTCTCTCTCTTGTTAGGAAAACCCTGTTATTTTGGGAATGCCGCGGCCTATTAGCCCAGCGTTCCATCACCGCCTCTCGACAGGCACAGCGGCTTGTGTAATTGCTACTGTAAAAAGGGGCAGTGTTTTAAAATGGCTTCAGTTTTTTTTTGGGGGGGGGTTCAGGAATAAACCATGGAATTACTGTGTGCAGTTCAGCACCTTTAGCCCAACTGTTTTAAGGCCCTTTTGAACTGTAGTCTATGGTAATAAGGAGGCCAGGTTTTTCAGGTTAGAAGTGTATGAAAGCCCCTTGGGATCAGCAGTAGCTGTGGTGGCATTACATTTTACAGGCAGGAAGGAGAGAGGTGGTTTATGGGTCCCAATAATCTGGCCTTTACACTCACTCAATGAAAGTCCACAGTAAATATCAGCTTTATTTCTGTTTAACAGCCCCTTGACTGTAAATACTGATGGTTATAAAGACAGAGAGATGCAACTGAAACAAGGTGTATGTGTGTATTCCTGTCTGTTAGAATGTATCTGTGTGTGTGCTTTCATGCACGTATACACTTACAGAAAGTATGTCTCAGAGCATGGTGTATTTATTTACTTTAGTGTGTGTGTGTATTCAACCTTCAGAACTTTTCCACCTGGTCACCCCAGTCCTCTGGTCCCCTTAGCCCTTTCAGACATTGTCCTGCTACATGTCAAACTGTACCAGGGTGCTTGTTAAAGCAGCTGCCCAGGGCAGGGAGGGAGTTTCAGTGACACGGTCCCCACCCTGTGATTTGGCTGGGAGCTGAATTTCTGGGCCGTAAAGCAGGGCCATCGGGGCCTGTGTCTGTGGAGGCAGGCAGGTCACACCTCGCCATGTGAGAGGAACACTAGCCCCAGGGGACAGGGGTTAAGTACCCTCTCGAGACCGGCTCCAGGGCCTCAGTGAGAGGCGGATTTATCTCTGTAAATATTTACCTTGCAGAGGCACAGCCGAGGGGAACCCAGACCGTCCCGGGGGCTAACAGGCTAGGCAGGCAGGTTGACCCAGAGGCTATGGCAGCCCTGTCCTGCGTTAGGACAGATACTGTAGCTACACCCCTCCTCTATCGCCCCCATATCGACACAAACCATCAGCTGACACCCAGAGAACACACAGGAAAGAACACAGGAAACACCTGAGTGTCTCCGACGGTAACAGCCGGGATGACCTCTCAACCCTGCTCTTGTGACCAGATGCCACCTTTTCTATTTTCCGCCTCGGCTTGAGTTAACCCCCCAGTCAGGGGACTGCTGCACTTATGTTGAAGTCTTTCCAGTTCCAATGGGAAGCGAGTGGCGGCTATTTTTAATTGCCGTGTTTCAGGGCAACTCTCTCTCTCTCTCTCTTTGCTCGCCTTGTGTCGTCATTGGGAGCAGGCACACGTGTCTGGGCTTGTTCTGTTTATGTGAATTCAATCTAATTAGTAATTACATCATAATGTCATTATGGTTATGAATCCAGATTATGGCTCTCTAATAACGACGGCTGAGTGGGTCCGCTGAAAACAAAACAAATAAAAGCGTTCATTTTGACGGCCTGGTAAGAGCCTGCACTGTGTAGATCGCTCGCTTGCATTGATAAATTGGAGAGTGGAGCCACTTGGTCATAGGACGGTACAGTAAGGGCAGTGAGTTAGTTCAACTCAACACTCCACACCTAGCTAACTAAATAAACTGGTGTAATGACTGGGTCCTGGTCTCCAGGGGGGAACAGACAGGGCAGGAGGGGGTCTGTGAGTGACTCGTCCCTGTCCCCCATTACTTTGACACACACACACACACAAACAAAGAGATGGTTCTCTCTGCCACCCCCGATGCCCACCTGGGCCCCAGACTGCATGCCATATAGCCTGGCATGGTTTGCCCACTGTTGGCTTTAATGGAGGTCCTACAGCAGGAAGTAATGCCAGTCTGTGCTGATATGATAGCTCTCCTCACGCTCTCTCTGTTTAGTAGACGGGGGGAAACGAACGCAACAACAAAAAATCAGCAGGTGGACTCAACGTCGTCAGTGGAAAGTCTGAGTCACCCGTTTTGACATCAGAACGCCGGCCGGTGCCAGCAATGACCTTCCCCTCTGAAACACCATACCTGTGGTTGACACCCGCTGAGTCGCTAACTCTGTGACTCTGCGGCTGGGTGGGACGACAGGGAGATGAGTAAAACAAACTGCGGAGAGAGGAGGGCAGTTATAAACATGCTTGTCATTGGCATCCGACCCAATGCATCCAAAAGCCGACCAATTCAATTTGGCACGCTTTCAAATTCATTTATCTTCCAAGTGAATGTGAGCCACGTAAAATAATACATTACACAAATGAACACATTATGTTACTGTGAACTGGTGTAACACCCATATAAACGTGTCATACTACCCAATATGATATATGACAGCGGAGGCATATGATTATGATTCAACCCTGACTTATCTTGCTAGGTCTTTCTTCCCATTTAGAATACAACAGCAGTGACCAGAAGACGGCCTGTAGGAGACATGAGCTCTACGTCAGCTTCCGGGAGCTGGGCTGGCAGGTAAGGATCAACCCCCCCCCCCCCCCCCCAGTAATTGCAGTGACACACTGGTGGACTACAGTACCCATAATGTCCCATTTGATCAGAGTAAAGAGTTTTCAATACAATACAGACATGAGGCAAACATCACATGTCAAAGAGAAGGTCAATGAAGACACGGGTTGCAAAAATACGGTAACTTTCCCAAAATTCCCTGGTTTTTCCAGAAAACCTGCAAAGAAGGAATCATCAGGAGGGAATAAACAGGAAATCAGGAATCCTCCAATAATGATTTCCTGAAAACCTGGGAATTTTGGGAAAGTTACCAGATTTTTTGCAACCCTAATGAAGACATTTGGTAGGTGAAAGCAAACCAACAAACAGGCTTTTGTACCGCTTTAATAACCATTTAAATAAGTATTTATGGGCATTTGGTAAGAGCTTAAGTGGCCTGTGAACTCTGTCAGGTCACTGGGCGTGTTGGGTAACAGGGGCCGCGAACAGTTAATGGAGGGGAAAACATGCAGCCACCTACGTCCTGCAAAACAATCAACCCCCTGTTAAGACAGCACTGACATCTAGAGGGAAAGTGCCAACACACACACACATACTGTACATAGGCCTATACACACACACACACGCAACCAGCCTGCTCCCTGAGTGATTCCACAGGCACCTGTACATTTCTGCCCTGATCCGTCCTAGGAGACCCAGTTGAGACTGAAGGCTGTGAGGGAGTGAAGTAGTGCGCTACAGTCCAAAGTGCTTTAGACCTTGTGCGAGTATACATGCCCTCTGACATTGCTGCGGCTGAACTGGCACTGTTTCACTGAACTGTATATAGTAACCATTAAAACACACAGTACCTTATTGCCACAGGATTCCATTTCCAGAGCCTTCAGAACACATTTTAGACCATTATGATGTGTTGTGTCCAGATGGTTAGCCATATTAAATGTATCCCTCTTGTGATTGTATCAGGACTGGATCATTGCACCTGAGGGCTACGCAGCCAACTACTGTGACGGAGAGTGCTCCTTCCCCCTCAACGCCCATATGAATGCCACCAACCATGCCATTGTGCAGACACTGGTGAGCACTCCAAGAATTGAGCTAATACGTTGCTAATAAACTGAGCTAAGTGCTAATAAAGAGCTGAATCCTAATTTCATGAATCCTGAATTTTCATGCAAATCTCCCATTGATGTAAATGTATATTTTGATTTGTAAAACAAATGTCTCAAGTGCTCACTTCACGTTAGGAAAGTGACATTGACCCTTCAAGCTGTGCTTCAAGGGGAATAAGTGACCTCTGACCTCTTGTTGTTGTCTCCCAGGTCCACCTCATGAACCCGGAGAACGTACCCAAGCCCTGCTGCGCACCCACCAAGCTGCACGCCATCTCCGTGCTCTACTTCGACGACAACTCCAACGTCATCCTGAAGAAGTACAAGAACATGGTGGTGAGGGCCTGTGGCTGCCACTGACAACCGCCAAACTGCCGCGTCATCATGGTCACCTGCTCATGTCAAAGGTCACAGCGGAGACTGTGTGCACACGACATCCTGGGCCTGCCTGTTTGTGAGTGGGTGTTGTGTGTGTGTACTACCCTCTCCTCTCCCGTACTCAGGGCGAGGGCGGAACTGATAATAGACCAGACCAACGTGCTGCTTCCCCCCCCTCCCCTCCTCTCAAAACTAAGTGGTGTTCAAGTTCTCAGACAGCTAATGGCTCATTACAGCAAAACAACTCGATGGCATCGGGGAATTGACTCAATGTTATCTCAACTGTTACATGACGTCAGATGTAGTCAAATGACACAAAACATGTAGAAATCCTTTTATAGGACCGCAGGGGAAAGCATTAGCCTAACTACACCATTTTTAATAGAGATGTATATTGTGTGACTAACCAAAGCCTGATTTTAACATGAACAATCTGCTGAAATATTCATGAAATCTATGCCACAATACATTACAGTTAATGTAAAGAGATCCAGATATTTCCTATTCCTCTTTATGTATTGTACTCAGAAGTTCTTCAGCCATATTCACCAGGCTTCCAAAAATATAATATGGGCCGAACGGAAACAACCACATACTATTTTAGTTGTGAACTCCTCAAAATATCTTCATTGGGTCAATATTTGCCAGGCTCATGCTGGGTGTTCACCAAGCTGGTTCAACAGGTAGCAGGTTGCGGCTTAACTGATGGACTGCGCTAAAGAAGATGACATTCACCTCATTCCTTAGACATCCCGCAAACAGCAATTTCCATGTTATTCCACTCACTGAGTTAACATATTATCCCCAAAAACCTGGAGAGAATAAAAGTGGAAAAAGCTATTTGTTGGTCAAATCAGCTGATCAAATGTTTTGGACCAGTTTTCTGAAATTAGCTTGGGTTTGTCATTGATGTTTAGATTTTGTTCATTTCAAAGTAATTGCAACTGTCGACGCATTTACGGATCGGGGCTCTAGTCAATCCGTATTGCGGAAGTTCAGCGTTGGTGTGATTGAAATTTAAAGGCAAGGTTCCTGCATTCACGGTAAACGCTGCATGTCATTTCATTTGAAAATTACCTTTACATTTCTATTGCGCAATCTGTAATCACTTCCTGAATTGACTGCCTTTTAATTGAGCCCAATCCTGCTAGCTGAAAAAAAGATACCTTTGTGCCTAACCAATCAGAAATCACAAAATATACCTCCAGTAAGCTGCTGTTTACATTTCTTGTGGTCATATTTAGACTTGTGTGTAAATACGTGTACATTTTCAGCTTATTTATTGCACCTCTTAAAGTCACATGCCATATTACAGAGAAAGAAACGTGAACAAATGAAAAATACTATTTTTGGAAAGACATTTTATTACAAAATCTCATGTTACAACTTGCCTTTTTTGGGGGGGGGCAGTGTACAACCCACTCACAATAACAAAATACTGCTTTCCTTCACTGGAGTCTGCCTAGACCATGTACTATCCATAAAGATTTTTACTGACAATAAGTGGTTAGCCTCTGAATGCATTTGTTTCCCTTAATTGAGCATTGAATGTAAAAACTGCCTCACACAGCAACTCCATGCACACACACATTCTCAGACCACTTCATTTACCTCAACCACCCCAGAATAGCACACACTTCAATAAAACTCAGAATCACTAACATTATGGGTTGATATAATATTCTATATATGGAAAGAAAAATCAACTTTGTAATCGTAATTTATAGACTAAACAAGTCATGAGTGATCATTATATGAGTGGATAATATATTTAGGGTATTCCGTTTTTTGATCTCCAAGCATCTGAGGTAACCAAACAACAACCCCAAAGTAAAGTGACCTTATCACTGTTGTTGCATTCTTGTGCTTCACTGGATGTTTGAGTGACACCCTGGGGTCTGATATGGGGCTTAGTCAATGGAACAGAATATTAATCCGCTTTGGGAAATCTATTGCATTTACAGCAGACACAAGATAGGAATGTTGTATAGAACAAACACATCCTTATCTGCAAAGTTCTGAATGTTCCATTTTAATGAACTACCCGTAAAGAAGCATTTGACCCCAAAACCATTTTTCATTCATCCATGTTGGACACAATCCCTCACAAACCATTTCTGAGGGATGTTTCAAACATGGACTAATGACAAATATGAAAACATGGTTTCCTTTAATGACAAACTAGCACATTCCATGCATAAGGCATGACTTGAGTGCGCCAAACAGACGATCACAATCATTGTTCATAAAACAGTGAGAACGGGAAAAACAGTCCCGAGGTGCCTGACATTGGACCGTGGGACTGAACTGAAGCCTCTTACAACACTAAAATGGAAAACAAAAAATACATTCAGAGTTTTTGTAGTACATATGCAATGTCACGGAAGACCACTCACTGACACAGACAAAGGGCAGTTTGACATGAAACATTAAAGTAGTTTCATGCAGCATTTCCAATCATAGCCAAAAAGCAGTTGGGGGAATTCGTCAGAAAAATAAGGGGAGACAAATATACCCGATAAGAGAGAGCAGTATGGCGTAGGCCGAGAACTCCAACTGGGTGTCCCTGAGAGTTAAGTTAGTTAGGCCGTCACTGGCATGGATAAAAAGTACCGTCAATGTCATGAGAGGTCACGCGGCTTTGACCCCTGTGCTACAGTAACATATCAATGGCTCATGATTGTTCGTCAACACGATTTTCTTAAATCACCAAATTAACATTAACAAATTTACATCTATAAAATTTCAGACAAACTTAGTCAGCTTAATCCAACGGTTTTTGATACAACCAGCAGGCACTATTTAAGACGACTCTGCTTGAGTTGTCAAGTGTAGAGATGACTATAAAAAGGTATGCATTTTAAGGTTTGGCCGATTTAAGTACCGTTGGCAAAAAATGGTTTGCAGAGCCAGCCAATGCTCTCCAGAGGAGCAGCCCAAACAAAACACATTCACATTTCACACAAACTATTGGATTATTATAGAATCAGACTGGCCTCGCTCACAAGGCATGAGACATTACAGAGGGGGTTAAAAAGCAGTGTGTTGACGCTACTCCTTTCTGAAAGAAAAACGATTGGAGATGGAGAGAGATAAGAGCTGGCCGTTGTGGGAGAGGACCATTCTGTGTTGGGGGGAGGAGAGAAGTAACGGTGGATGTTGATTGGACAATGCTACAGCTCGTCTCGGGCCTGCTTCATCACAAAACTGTGCAGGCTCTCCAAGTCCCGCCCTCCGTGATGCTCCTCACCTTGAGCACCAGCTCTGAACAGCAGCAGGGTGGGGTACCCACGTACCTGTGGAAGAGAAAGGGGAAATAGGCATCGTCCATGGATAACAAGTCAGCAAGGTAATAACCCCTAGCTAGCCCCGACCTCTTCAGTGTTTGCTGATCTGAAGGGAATGGATAGGTATGAGCAATATGGTCTTGACTTCACCTAACCCTGCAATGCCTTCACCATATCACTTCCACCTTTCCTTCAGATCGGCCAACACTGAAGGAAATAATGGTTGCACGGTTTTTCTCTTACTATAAACTATGCATGAATCGTCTAGATTGTTTAGCAGTGCGAGTCATAACACTAATTTAATAAATTCTAACAGTGAGCTTCTAAGAGCCAGAGAGGCTGCAGCTGAAGAGACTACTGGTCCATGGCCTTGAGACGGTGAGTCAGGGAAAATTCCAGAGAGCATCCCACTAATAAAGGTTGTGATGGTTATAACATGGTCTGTCTTAAAAAGGGCCATGAGGGAGTCTTGAGATCCACTATTCCTGGTAGCGTAGCACTACTGATCATCCAATCCCACGATGAGGTGGCTGTATAGTTTTATGGCTTTTTGAACCACAGTACACAACCTCAGCTAACTCACCGTTTATACTTCCTGTGGCCCTGGGTCTCACCTGCTTGTGTGGGTTTATGAACCAAATGTGAAGTTACACAATCAAGGTCTTGCTAATTATACCGCAGACTACAGTAGTGCTCTTTCTGAGCCATATCTTAGCTACTGACAGTCAATTTACAATTTATACTGAGTGTACAAAACATTTCCATGAAATAGACTGACCAGGTGAAAGCTATGATCCCTTATTGATGTCACCTGTTAAATCCATTTTAAATCAGTGTAGATGAAGGGGAGGAGACAGGTTAAAGAAGGATTTTTAAGCCTTGAGACAATTGAGACATGGATTGTGTATTTGTGCCATTCAGAGGGTGAATGGGCAAGACAAAATATTTAAGTGCCTTTGAACGGGGTACGGTAGTAAAATATTTAAGTAGGTGCCAGGAGCACCAGTTTGAGTGTTAATAACTGCTCAACAGTTTCACCTGTGTATCAAGAATGGTCCACCACCCAAATGACATCCAGCCAACTTCACACAACTATGTGAAGCATTGGAGTCAACATGGGTCAGCATCCCTGTGGAACGCTTTCGACACCTTGTAGAGTCCATGCCCCGACGAACTGAGGCTGTTCTGAGGGCAAGAGAGGGTGCAACTCAATTTCTGTACACTCAGTGTAGAACACCTACTGAAAACCTGTTGCAGATCGTCCTCTCCACTGTGCAGTCCACTTTGCCAATCTTCACGTCAGTCAGGCCAGGGAACTCCTTCTTGGACAGGTCCTCCCATGTAGGGGCCAGATTCTTACAGTGGCCACACCTGGAGGGGGGGTGGGCGGGGAGGGACAAGTCAGTTATAATTACGCAGGTTATCCAGTCAGTGGACGACAGAGGTGTTCTTTCTCTGCGACTGCATCTCAATAGTCGAGTGGTACTTGAATCTAGTGTACTTTTAGTCATGTGCACTGCTGTGACAAAACAGGCATCCATTATATTCCTTTCACCTAGCCTAGATCAGGGCAGATTAGGGCGCTGAGGCCACTTTAGTAGAGTATTGAGATGGAACTTCTGTCTGCAAGTGTGCCGCTCCATTACCTGAGGGGAAATGCACTAGCCTCCTCAACTTCTTAAAAAGTACCACTGACTCAAATGACACTGACTCACAAATGTCCAAGGTCATACGTGTGAGATAAATAGAAAGAGCGTTAGTACTGTATATAAGAGCACTTACCATGGAGTGTAGAACTTGATGAACGTCAGCCCCTTGGCCACTGTCTCGTCAAAGTTGCTCTCTGTGAGTGTAACAACGCCAGACTGCAGGAAAAAACAGAGATGATTTCGGATGGGATCATTCCTGGTCATGTATAGGTTAATACAGTGCCTTCAGAAAGAATTCACACCCCTCAACCTTTTCCACATTTTGTTGTGTTACAGCCTGAATTTAAAATGGATTCAATTTAGATTTTGTTTCACTGGCCTACACACAATAACCCATAATGTCAAAGTGGAATGACGTTTTCATATATATATATATATTTTTTTTTAACAAATGAATAAAAAATGAAAAGCTGAAATGTCTTAGGTCAATAAGTATTCAACCCCTTTGTTACAGTATAGCTAATTTAAATAATTTCAGGAGTAAAGATTTGCTTAACAAGTCACATTATAAGTTGCATGGACTCACTGTGTGCAATAATAGTGTTTAACATGATGTTTTAATGACTACCTCGTCTCTGTACCCCATACAATTATCTGTAAGGTCCCTCAGTCAAGCAGTGAATTTCAAACACAGATTCAACCACAAAGACCAGGGAGGTTTTCCAATGCAAAGATGGGCACCTATCGGTAGATTGGTCAAAATAAAACAAGCTGACATTGAATATCCCTTTGAGCATGGTGAATTATTAATTACACTTTGGATGATGTATCAATACACCCAGTCAATAGAAAAGACACACACGTCCTTCCTAACTCAGTTGCCGGAGAGGAAGGAAACCACTCAGGGATTTCACCATGAGGCCAATGGTGACTTTACCAGTTACAGAGTTTAAACAGTTACAGAGTTTAATGGCTGTGATAGGAGAAAACTAAATTGTAGTTACTCCACAATACTAACCTAAATGACACAGTGAAAAGAAGGAAGCCTGTACAGAACAAAAATATTACAAAACATGCATCCTGTTTGCAATAAGGCACTACAGTAAAACTGCTACAAATGTGGCAAAGAAATTAATACAGTGTGTTATGTTTGGGGGCAAATCCAACACATCACTGAGTACCCCTCTTCATATTTTCAAGCATGGTGGTGGCTGCATCATGTTATGGGTATGCTTGTCATCAGAAAGGACTAGGGAGTTTTTTAGGGTAAGAAGAAATGGAATAGGGCTAAGCACAGGCAAAATCCTTGAGGAAAACCTGATTCAGTCTGCTTTCCAACAGACACTGGGAGACAAATTCACCTTTCAGCAGGACAAGAACCTAAAACACAAGGCCAAATATACACTGGACTTGCTTACCAAGACGACATTGAATGTTTCTGAGTGGCCTAGTTCCAGTTTAGACTTAAATCGGATTAAAAATCTATGGAAAGACTTGAAAATGGCTGTCTAGCTATAATCAACTTGACAGAACCTGAAGAATTGTAAAAATAATGTGCAAATATTGTACAATCCAGGTGTGCAAAGCTCTTAGAGACTTACCCAGAAAGACACTCAGCTGTAATCGCTGCCAAAGATAATTCTAACATGTATTAACTCAGGGGTGTGAGTACTTATGTAAATGAGATTTCTTTGTTATTTTCACTAAATTTGCAAAAATATCTAAAAACATGTTTTCACTTTGGTATTATGGGGTATTGTGTGTAGATGGGTTAGAGAAATACATATATTTAATCCATTTTGAATTCAGGCTGTAACACAACTAAATGTGGAATAAGTCAAGGGGTATGAACACTTTCTGAAGGCACTGCATGTCCACAAGACCAGTAGCCTAAGTTCCTACACCGAACATCCGAGACGGATTAGAATTAGCTTTGGATTGCTCCTTAAAAGACTTGTCCCATGTCTTTGTTCAAGGTTAAGCCTCAAGTGATGTCACTGTTCACACTGAACACTCTATCCGAGATGCCTTGGCATGGGCGGGAGGAAATAGCTAGCCTGCCCATAATTGCTAGGTCTAGTTGACCGTTGTGCAGCAGAGGCCTATGCCTGCTGTACACTGCAGTAGACTGTATTCCACAGCGTAGGCCTGAGCAGGCTAGATGGTAATCTCACTGCTAAACCATCTGCCCAAGAGCTTATTCACTCATTAAGTATCTGGAGAGGTACAGTACCAGTCAAAAGTTGACACACCTTCTCATTCAAGGGTTTTTCTTAATTTTTTTCCTATTTTCTACATTGTAGAATAATAGTGAAGACATCAAAACTATGAAATAACACATATGGAATCATGTAGTAACCAAAAAAGTGTTAAACAAATCAAAATATATTTTATTTTAGATTCTTCAAAGTAGCCACCCTTTGCCTTGATGACAGGCTTTGCACACTCTTGGCATTCTCTCAACCAGCTTCACCTGGAATGCATTTCCAACAGTCTTGAAGGAGTTCCCACATATGCTGAGCACTTGTTGGCTGCTTTTCCTTCACTCTGTGGTCCAACTCATCCCGAACCATCTCAATTGGGTTGAGGTCGGGTGATTGTGGAGGCCAGGTCATCTGATACAGCACTCCATCACTCTCCTTATTGGTCAAATAGCCCTTACACAGCCTGGAGATGTGTTGGGTCATTGTCCTGTTGAAAAACAAATTATAGTCCCACTAAGCGCAAACTAGATGGGATGGCGTATCGCTGCAGAATGCTGTGGTAGCCATGCTGGTTAAGTGTGCCTTGAATTCTAAATAAATCAGACAGTGTCACCAGCAAAGCACCCCCACACCAAAACACCTCCTCCTCCATGCTTCACGGTGGGAACCACACATGCAGAGATCATCCGTTAACCTACTCTGCATCTCACAAAGACACGGCGGTTGGAACCAAATCTCTCAAATTTGGACTCTTCAGACCAAAGGACAGATTTCCACCGGTCTAATATCCATTGCTCGTGTTTCTTGACCCAAGCAAGTCTCTATACTCAGAATATATATCCCAAAAGAAATACATTCTCACTCCAATCAATTTTAACAGAAGGTTAGCAAAAATAGATAAGATCTTGCTACCATGGAAAGGTAAATACCTGTCTATTTGTGGACAAATCACTCTGATTAACTCTTTAGTATTATCCCAGTTTACTATTTGTTGTATATGAGAAAACAATATTCCATTTTATTTGGAACGGCAAGCCAGACAAAATTAAACGGGCCTATTTAAATAATTCGGAGGACAGAAATTATTAAATATGAAAGCATTAGACCTATCATTAAAAGCTTCGGTCATACAAAAGTTATACTTAAATCTGAACTGGTTCTCTAGCAAATTAGTAAGATTGTCTCACCCCATGTTCAAGAATGGCCTTTTCCCCTTTATTCAGATTACAACTTCTCACTTTCAGTTATTTGAAAAGGAAATCATCTCCCAAACATCACTATTTCTAAAACAAGCCATAGAAAGTTGGTTGCAATTTCAATTTAATCCTCCAGAAATGACAGAACAAATAATGCAAAAATATTGTGGTTAAACTCAAATATACTAATTGATAAAAAAAACATTTTTTGGAGAAAAAAAAAAAAAAGGTATGATCTTCGTAAATTATATCATAGGTAGAACTGGTGGAGTTATGTCGCATATGCAGCTAACAAAAATGTCTGCTCTACCCAAAATTACAACCAAATAATTGCAGCATTACCGCAAAAATGGAAGAGGAAAGTGGAAGGAGGGAAAAGTAAGGAACGTGTCTGTCGGCTCTGCATTAAAGACCATAATTGGTTAAAGAAAATTGTGATAAATAAAAAAGTATACCAAAGGATTGACAGCTGTCCCATATAGATGGCAAAATAGTTGGGAAGAGATTTTTGACGTACCGATTCCATGGCAAATGGTTTATGAACTGACACGCAAAACGACGCCGGATTCAAAACGTAAGAATTTTTCAATTTAAATTATTATAAAAAATTATTGCAACCAATATAATTTTATTTATATGGGGGATACAATCTTCCCAGCTCTGCAGATTTTGCTGCGAAGAGACAGAATCATTAGATAATTTGTTTTGGTACTGTCCATTTGTAAGTCACTCTGGATAAGAGCGTCTGCTAAATGATGTAAATGTAGCTTGTTTTTGGTCACAGGTCCACGAATGGCTGAAGGATTGCAATATTTACCTGGAGCTAACCCTGCAGATAGCACTACTGGGTGATCTGAAAAGTCTGTCAATCGATCAATAATATAATACTTTTAGCAAAAATGTTTATTTTCAATTTACAATCTGTAGAAACAATGAGAATAGAAGGGTTCAGAACTTTTGTGCAACATCACAGTACAGTTGAGAAATATATGGCAAGTAGAAATCCAATATGGATGGTGTTAAGAGATAGATGGGAGGGGTTGAATGGAGCTGAAGGTTGGGACTAATAACAACAAAATAACTCATGTAAAACATACTGTGTCCATAGTAAGTATGTAGGTTGAGAACTATTGTGAAAAAGAGCTCAGTTTGGGGATATGGCATGTAGAGGCAAACCGGATGGACGTCATGAAAATGATCAGAGAGGTTGAGGGTAGAGGAAGTTCAGGAGTAAAAACAAACAAAATATAATTATTATTGACTGTGTCCATAAAATGTATATAGTATGTATAAGCTTGAAGTAGACACCTAAGCTTTGTTGTTCACTCCAATTAGGGGAGGGGTGGTGGGGTTGGAAAGTAATAAAGGAAAATACATTTAAAAAAATGATATATATATAATTTTTTGCGGAAGAAAATATGGGGGATTGGAAGTGATGCAGACAATTACAGTGATGGAAGTTACAATCTATCTGCAATGTTAAAGCTGACCTACCCCCTAAAAAATAAAAATAAAAATCTTATTGGTGTCCTTTAGTAGTGGTTTCTTTGCAGCAATTCGACCATGAAAGCCTGATTCACACAGTCTCCTCTGAACAGTTGATGTTGAGATGTGTCGGTTACTTGAACTCTGAAGCATTTATTTGGGCTGCAATTTCTGAGGCTGGTAACTCTAATGAACGTATCCTCTGCAGCAGAGGTAACTCTGGGTCTTACTTTCCTGTGGCGGTCCTCACGAGAGCCAGTTTCATCATAGCGATTGAAGGTTTTTGCGACTGCACTTGAATAAACTTTCCGGCTTGACTGACCTTCATGTCTTAAAGTAATGATGGACTGTCGTTTCTCTTTGAGCTGTTCTTGACATAATATGGACTTGGTCTTTTACCAAATAGGGCTATCTTCTGTATACCCCCCCCCTACCTTGTCACAACACAACTGATTGGCTCAAACGCATTAAGAAGGAAAGAAATTCCACATATTAACTTTTAACAAGGTACACCTGTTAATTGAAATGCATTCCAGGTGACTACCTCATGAAGCTGGTTGAGAGAATGCCAAGAGTGTGCAAAGCTGTCATCAAGGCAAAGGGTGGCTACTTTGAAGAATCTCAAATATAAAATATATTTTGATTTGTTTATCACTTTTTTGGTGACTACATGATTCCATGTGTGTTATTTCATAGTTTTGATGTCTTCACTATTATTCTACAATATAGAAAATAGTAAAAATAAAGAAAAACCCTGGAATGAGTAGGTGTGTCCAAACTTTCGACTGGTACTGTATGTTGTAAAAACTTGCTGCCCACACATGCAACAGGGTGCCCCGCCCCCAAAATGAGATATCGCCGTTAGCATCTTACCACAACAGAGCTCAACTTCTTTTTTTCGTTAGAAAACATTGACCAAAGCTCAGAGTTTTTAAATAGCATGTGGTGTATTTAAAGTCTGGAAGACCCATGCTCTTGGCCCCACGGTGCCTGAAAGAAAGTCACACACACACACCTCCTCTTTGGCGGGTTCGGCGCTGGGTACTGGGATCTCGTTAGCATGCGGGTGCTCGTCATCCTCCTTAGTAGCAGCCTGGACCTGGTTGTCCACAAAGTCCTTCAGAGAGTCCAGGTCCCGCTTGCCTCTGTACTGGTCCGCCTGGACAGACAAACAGCAGCAATGGAAAGGGTTAACAAACTGACTGTTTTAATGGCGAAGCCATAGCTCCTTAAATGCTTAAATGCGTTACTGAACACAATGACACAAGGTCTTCTTCAGTGTGCTATCCAACCACACTATGTACCTTCTCTCCGTCCTTGAAGAAGAGTAGGGTGGGGTAGCCACGCACAGCATTCTCAGAGCACACCTCGTAGTGCTGGGTACAGTCCACCTGGCCAATCACACAACACCAGTTTAAATCAGAATTCATTCAGCATATCCAGCTCATACCTAGTTTGTCATACTTCACATTTAACTCCTGTAGTTGGTAAAGATAGCTAGTTGTGCTTTGAACTTGGAAATATCAACATGCAATTCAATACAAACATCAGGCCACAGCCATAAATAACATTTGTTCAGTGGGTTGTATTATCTCATTGTACAAACAAAATGACTCGTCAGAAGATCCGTGTCCTGGTCTTGTTACATAGATAACAGTGACTCCGGTCCCCTGCTGTTGCTCAGGCAGAGTTGGAACTTGTCACCAACCTTGCCGATCTTGATGTTGTCCGAGTGCTCGAAACTGGTGGCCAGCTGCTCCCAGGTGGGGACCATGGCCTTGCAGTGACCGCACCAGGGGGCAAAGAACTTGACAAAGTGGGACCCTGTAGAGAGGAGACAGAAAGGAGAAAAGGAGATTGTACTTCATTCTGGAAAACATCATATATACATAAATGTACAGTAATAATAGCTGCAATCTGAAAGAACCGTAATTATAAAGCATTTTACAGAGGTACGTATTACCTTAAGTTAGAGGGTAAGAGCGTCTTAGCTTAAGGATGGGTTATGAGTTGATGGAATAACATGAGAAATTACATCAACTATAAAATTGCTGGCCTGGAGACTAAAATAAACTGAGCTCACAGAGGTTAAATGCTACCGATTACGCAATTTCGTCATAGTTCATCTTGCCAAGATTTAAAAGGTGAGACCCATAAACATTCCTCTTACAAATGACCTTGTCATATCCTGTATTTTTTCTCCAAAACAGAAATCATTTATTTTTATTCTCAACCAAAACAGACTAAAACCAGGCTTAAAAGGATACTTTGGGGATTGTGACAATGAGGCCCCAGAGTCAGATGAACTCGTGGATACCATTTTTATGTCTCTGCGTTCGGTTTGAAGGAAGTTGTTCATTAGCGCTGGAGTAATTTCTAACTAGCGTTAGTGCAATGACTGGAAGTCTATGGGTATCTGCTAGCATGCAAGCAGATACCCATAGACTTCCAGTCATTGTGCTAACGCTAGTTAGCATTGGCTCGGGAAACTACCTCTACCTTTCTTCATACTGATACATAAAAATGGTATCCTTGAGTTCATCTGACTCTGGGGAAGTATACTGAACAAAAATAAACGCAACATGTAAAGTGTTGGTCCCATGTTTCATTAGCTGAAATAAGAAATGTTCCATATGCACAAAAAGCTTATTTCTCTCAAATGTTGTGCACAAATTAGTTTACAACCCTGTTAGTGAGCATTTCTCCTTTGCCAAGATAATCCATCCACCTGACAGGTGTGGCATATCAAGAAGCTGATTAAACAGCATGATCATTACACAGGTGCACCTTGTGCTGGGGACGATAAAAGGAGATAAAAGGCGTTGTGCCACAGATGTTTCAAGTTTTGAGGGAGCATGCAATTGGCATGCTGACTGCATTAATGTCCACCAGAGCTGTTGCCTGAGAATGTAAGGTTCATTTCTCTACCATAAGTCGCCGCCAACGTCGTTTTAGAGAATTTGGCAGTACGTACAACAAGCCTCACAACAGAGGACCACGTGTAACCACGCCAGCCCAGGACCTCCACATCCGGCTTCTTCACCTGCAGGATTGTCTGAAACCAGCCACCTGGACAGCTGATGAAACTGAGGAGTATTTCTGTCTGTAATAAAGCCCTTTTGTGGGGAAAAACTCATTCTGATTGGCTGGGCCTGGTTCTCAAGTGGGTGGGCCTATGCCCTCCCAGGACCACCCATGGCTGCGCCCCTGCCCAGTCATGTGAAATCCATAAATTGGTGTCTAATTTATTTATTGTAATTGACTGATTTCTTTATATGAACTGTAACTCAGTAAAATCTTTGAAATTGTTGCGTTTATATTTTGGTTCAGTATAGATAAAGGGCCTCATTGCCAAAATCCCAAAAGTATCCCTTTAAGAGCTGCAATTTCATCAGGGCAATTATAGTGACCATTTATTTTTGTTCTGCTTGTCCAGCGATCGGAAACATGCGGTTTGCATTAGATAAATGTAGAGTGGATTGCATCATGGTTTCAAGGGAATAACGGCGCCTAAATTATGTTCAACGTTGTAGAAACGTTACGTATGCAACTTGCATAAAACATTGGGTTGTATTCTGGTATAAAGAGACAAGCCTGGTCCCAGGTCTGTGTGTGCCCTCTTGCCAACTCCTATCGTGCATGACAACTGCAAGTTGACAAGAGAGCAGAGACAGTTCTGGGACCAGGCTATAAAGAGACCGTTGCCACGTGTGGTACTGATTGATCCCAGTCCTCCCCACGTTACCTTTAGAGACGTGGGCCTTGAAGTTGCTGGCGGTGAGGTCATACAGGCCCTGTTTGGGCTCTGGGGCTTTGGGAGGCTCCAGCTCAGTCTCTGGCTCCTACAGAACCACAGAACATCATGACACAGGTCAAATAAAGACTACCATCACATAACATTAGTCTCAAAAGGTTTCCAATTCAATATATATAATAATAATATTTAAAAAATATGCCATTTAGCAGACGTTTTTATCCAAAGCGTCCTAGTCATGCATGCATACATTTTACATATGGGTGGCCCTGGGAATCGAACCTACAATCCTGACGTTGCATGCACCATGCTCTACCAACTGAGCCATACAGGATCACCTACTGTATCTTCTACTTAGATGCTCTCAAAAGTCTAAAGCAGGGGTATTCAACACTGGGGTCCAACAACAGAATAAACATTTTAAATGACACACCTACAATTGAAAATATATCTTTCTAATGATGTCAACTTTATTTATGAACTCCTAATATTTAGCAAATGACACTCATTTGAGCCAATTACACTCACTGGAGTATCTGACATACAGTGAGGGAAAAAAGTATTTGATCCCCTGCTGATTTTGTACGTTTGCCCACTGACAAAGACATGATCAGTCTATAATTTTAATGGTAGGTTTATTTGAACAGTGAGAGACAGAATAACAACAAAAAAATCCAGAAAAACGCATGTAAAAAATGTTATAAATTGATTTGCATTTTAATGAGGGAAATAAGTATTTGACCCCACTGCAAAACATGACTTAGTACTTGGTGGCAAAACCCTTGTTGGCAATCACAGAGGTCAGACGTTTCTTGTAGTTGGCCACCAGGTTTGCACACATCTCAGGAGGGATTTTGTCCCACTCCTCTTTGCAGATCTTCTCCAAGTCATTAAGGTTTCGAGGCTGACGTTTGGCAACTCGAACCTTCAGCTCCCTCCACAGATTTTCTATGGGATTAAGGTCTGGAGACTGGCTAGGCCACTCCAGTACCTTAATGTGCTTCTTCTTGAGCCACTCCTTTGTTGCCTTGGCCGTGTGTTTTGGGTCATTGTCATGCTGGAATACCCATCCACGACCCATTTCAATGCCCTGGCTGAGGGAAGGAGGTTCTCACCCAAGATTTGACGGTACATGGCCCTCGTCCATCGTCCCTTTGATGCGTTGAAGTTGTCCTGTCCCCTTAGCAGAAAAACACCCCCAAAGCATAATGTTTCCACCTCCATGTTTGACGGTGGGGATGGTGTTCTTGGGGTCATAGGCAGCATTCCTCCTCCTCCAAACACGGCGAGTTGAGTTGATGCCAAAGAGCTTGATTTTGGTCTCATCTGACCACAACACTAGCACCCAGTTCTCCTCTGAATCATTCAGATGTTCATTGGCAAACTTCAGACGGGCCTGTATATGTGCTTTCTTGAGCAGGGGGACCTTGCGGGCACTGCAGGATTTCAGTCCTTCACGGCGTAGTGTGTTACCAACTGTTTTCTTGGTGACTATGGTCCCAGCTGCCTTGAGATCATTGACAAGATCCTCCCGTGTAGTTCTGGGCTGATTCCTCACCGTTCTCATGATCATTGCAACTCCACGAGGTGAGATCTTGCATGGAGCCCCAGGCCGAGAGAGACTGACAGTTCTTTTGTGTTTCTTCCATTTGCGAATAATCGCACAAACTGTTGTCACCTTCTCACCAAGCTGCTTGGCAATGGTCTTGTAGCCCATTCCAGCCTTGTGTAGGTCTACAATCTTGTTCCTGACATCCTTGGAGAGCTCTTTGGTCTTGGCCATGGTGGAGAGTTTGGAATCTGATTGATTGATTGCTTCTGTGGACAGTTGTCTTTTATACAGGTAACAAACTGAGATTAGGAGCACTCCCTTTAAGAGTGTGCTCCTAATCTCAGCTCGTTACCTGTATAAAAGACACCTGGGAGCCATACATCTTTCTGATTGAGAGGGGGTCAAATACTTATTTCCCTGATTAAAATGCAAATCAATTTATAACATTTTTGACATGCGTTTTTATGGATTTTTTTGTTGTTATTCTGTCTCTCACTGTTCAAATAAACCTACCATTAAAATTAAAGACTGATCATTTCTTCGTCAGTAGGCAAACATACAAAATCAGCAGGGGATCAAATACTTTTTTCCCTCACTGTAGGCTTTAAAAAAGCACACGCAAGTAAGTACCAGTCGCCTGAACTGAAAACAGGATAATGTGGAAACAACAAGGACGTTGTCTTCCGTTCATTTGCTTTCACCTATCCATCAGCGCAGATGAAGGAAATGAGAAGCCATTTCAGATGAGATGATGGGATGTCTCTCCTCAGGAGACTAAAAAGATTTGGCATGGGTCCTCAGATCCTCAAAAAATTCTACAGCTGCACCATCGAGAGCATCCTGACTGGTTGCATCACCGCCTGGTATGGCAACTGCTTGGCCTCTGACCGCAAGGCACTACAGAGGGTAGTGCGTACGGCCCAGTACATCACTGGGGCCAAGCTTCCTGCCATCCAGGACCTCTATACCAGGCGGTGTCAGAGGAAGGCCCTCAAAATTGTCAAAGACTCCAGCCACCCTAGTCATAGACTGTTCTCTCTGCTACCGCACGGCAAGCGGTACCGGAGTGCCAAGTCTAGGTCCAAAAGACTTCTCAACAGCTTCTACCCCCAAGCCATAAGACTCCTGAACAGCTAATCATGGCTACCCGGACTATTTGCACTGCCCCCCCACCCCATCCTTTTTACGCTGCTGCTACTCTGTTAAGTATTTATGCATAGTCACTTTAACTCTACCCACATGTACATATTACCTCAACTACCTCAACTAGCCGGTGCCCCCGCACATTGACTCTGCAACGGTACCCCCCTGTATATATAGCCTCCCTACTGTCACTTTATTTTACTTCTGCTCTTTTTTTCCTCAACACTTTTTTTGTTGTTGTTTTATTCTTACTTTTTTTGTTTAAAATAAATGCACTGTTGGTTAAGGGCTGTAAGTAAGCATTTCACTGTAATGTCTGCACCTGTTGTATTCGGCGCATGTGACCAATAAAATTTGATTTGATTTGATTTGCATGAACCCCCCTCCCCTCCCCTTTCTCCTTACCACAGGCTCCTCCTGCAAAGTGTTGAGCATCCAGGTCTCCATAGACTGCAGGTCCCTGGGGCCTTGGTACTTCATCGCCTCCTGCTCGGGCTTGAACAGCTTTAGCCTACAGACAACACAGGGATCAATGAGATCATACGACTCAATGACTAGGGCTTGGCCATACTCCTCTGCAGTACCGACACACTCAAAATACACCAAATTGGTCAACTCCTTTGCAACACATTTACATCATGTTCATGGCTAATAAAATGTTAATACTTTCTTTGTGACAGTCGTTTTTTTTCGACCAAGTAGTTTATAAGCATGCTAGGGTCCAGGTTCCTCCTTTAAAGAGCATACACTGCAAAACCAGTGGTTAAAAATTCAACGAAATGCATGTCAATGTTCACTGCTATCTGTCAATAAGTAATCAATCTACATTGAAGCTCACTGCTCTTCATGGTTTATCCCTGTAGCAAAATGTGCCCCGAAACGGTGAGGTACTCTCAACTTATCCAATAAGAAAACCAAGAAGAAACTGTTCTATTGCACAATGCAGAGTTTTTCAAATTGGGGTCCATTGTAGATACCATTTGTATGTCTCCGCGTCCAGTATGGGGGAAGTTAGAGGTAGTTTCACAAGCCAATGCTAACTAGTGTTAGCATAATGACTGGAAGTCTACAGGAACAGTTAGCATGCAAACTGTTCGTGTTCATCCAACTCTGGAGAAGTAGATAAATGGCTTCATTGCCAAAATCAAGCTAATTACAGGGTATGTTCTGTATAGAAAATGATTAGGCAGGCCAGCTAAGTGGTAATTTTCACGATGGAAAAACAGTTTGTGTCAACTTAAACGACCAATACCAGATAGAAAGCATGCAGAAAAGATATTGAACTATATTAATATTTGTTTAAATAATATCATATTTGAAAACTAACAATAAAATAAAAACTAGACAGTCAGGGAGTATTGAGAAAAAAAATAAAAAAAATGGAATTGAGGGCACGTGAACATTGATTTTGTTATAATGTTTGAGCAGAGGAACACAGCAGTAGCATTGGCAAAATGCATAGAATTGCAGGAAATTAGCTTTAAAACTGCAAAATTGTTGTTCAGCTCAAATGAATACGCCACTGTACTTACGTAGGGTAGCCACTGATGCCGTGGACGTTGGAGCAGAACTTGACGTCCTGAGTGCAGTCAACCTTTACAACGTAGGCCGGCGGCGACTCCATGCTGTTGTATTTGTCCGCCATCTCGTTCCATGTCCCTTGTAGCCTCTGGCAGTGACCACACCTGAAAAGACAATGCAGCAGAGAATTGTTTTTTTTTTTGCCAGCGCTACAGACGGCTATATATCGGACTAGTAAAGGCCGAGTGCACTACTTTTATGAATATTTTTTTTTATTATTATTATTGGTTTTATTTAGATTTTTTAGGGTTGCTGCAGCCCCCTCAGCACCCCTACTTTCCGCGGCTATGCTTGTATATGGGGAGGTGTGACACTTCACATGAGTATCAAGAAAACATAGGGAGGCGACCAGAAATCCTTTTGAGGAAATATCTCTGAGGAGAAAAGACTGATATTTTACTTCCATGATGAAGCGCTACATGTTTTTCTATAAGCCTAAATGTCAGCAAAGACACCAACATATGTTAAATCCCATTTAGGCCTAACTACATCAAGTAGATTATTCACTGGGCAAAAAAAAGATGGGACATTTTTAGGCACAGCTTTTGTGCGTGCATGTCTACGAGGTTACGTTTATCAGTGCCACGTAAACGGTCACAGCAGGAACGAATCCTGAAATGATCTATTCCTCCACTGTACTGTATTGTAATGTTAGCAAGCAAGCTGCTGTACAGTAGAAACATTTAAGCAGCAAAATTAACACCTTGAAAAAACACTGCGGTGTGCATGTAGCGACTTTGTCAACTAACATGTTAAAGTACGGGACAGTTCAAGTTGAAACGTGACTTCAAAAAGTTCGCTAGTTTAAATAACGGTATCCCAAAATGTAGCAGCCATAACATGCTACCTAACGCTCGAGTATTGGAGTAATAGACAACGCGTTAGCCAGATTAAATGGACTTTGCATCAAATGCAAGGATGAATTAACATTTTATATACAACAGCCATATCATATCACGTGTAACTAAAAAGACAAGTCGGCTGACTAGACAGCTTATTAGTTAGATCAGTAGTCAGCTAACGTTAGCCGTCAAAAAGCTACGCTAGTTAGCTGCAGTTAACTAGGTAACGTTTGCTAGTAGCAGTAATCAAAGTTAGCAGCTTGCCCATCATGTCATGACAACTTGAAAATGAAACAGCTAGCTAATTTTGGTAAGGAAATATGTAACGTTGTCAATAACTTTACAAATTGCTAGCTACTAACTAGCTAATCCATTCATTCAGGTTAAAACGTGAATAAACGTTTGCTTACCAAGGGGCGAAGAACATGACAAAGTGGGGAGCGGTGGGGACAGCATCGTTGAACATATCCACCGTATACGTATGCTTGGCATGTTCATCTTCTTCTGAATCAGCATCGCAAAATATATTACCAAAAAGTAACGCACAATAAATAAAACACAACATAAAAGGTGTGCAATTCAGTGCTGAGTAGGCCATGATCCCGTCTGCCACCGGCGTCTGTGAATACTAGGACAGCCCCTAGCCCTAGTGCTGATTTTTCAGGAATGTAGAATCTGGATAGGGCCAATGCATAGGGAGACGCTCTGAACAATGGTTGCTGCCGTTTTACAGGTGGAGATGCAATGCAGATTAGATAGAGATCTGTGGCATCACGAAAATGGTGCACTTCAAACACTCCTGTACAAGCTCTAACAAGTTTCAATCCAGATGGTTTCACAAGTAGGGCGGCTAGTGTAAAATATCAAAGTTTGCAAAACTTTTCAGTGTTGGTTACATTTCATTCATTTGCGTCATTCATTCATTCATGTCTTTCTGTCAGCCAGCCTAATTACTAGGAGGCAATGCATGATGTGTATTTAGTATCCATATATTGTAATGTTCTAGATAGGCCTAGGTATACACATTATTTTAAATGGTTTATTTGAGTAAGCACAGATATTGTCATGTTGAATAATCAAGAGTCTGTGCATTGCATCATCATGCTTTACCATGAGCTACAGTGCCTTCAGAAATTATTGATTTATTCCACATTTTGTTGTTACAGCCTGAATTCAAAATATATTAAATATTGTTTTTTTCTCTCACCCATCTACACACAATACCCCATAATGACAAAGTTAAAATATGTTTTTAGAAATTTTTGCAAATGTATTTTAAATGAAATACAGAAATATCTCATTTACATAAGTAGTCACACCCCTGAGTCAATAATACATGTTAGATACTCATTTAGCAGCGATTATAGCTGAGTCTTTCTGGGTACGTTTTTAAGAGCTTTGCATACCTGCATTGTACAATATTTTCACATTATTATAAAAACAATTATTCAAGCTCTGTCAAGTTGTTTGTTGATCATTGCTAGACAGCCATTTTCAAGTCTTGCCATAGATTTTTATGCCGATTTAAGTCAAAACGGTAACTAGGCCACTCAGGAACATTCAATCTCATCTTGGTAAGCAAGTCCAGTGTACATTTGGCCTTGTGTTTTAGGTTATTGTCCTGCTGAAAGGTGAATTTGTCTCCCAGTGTCTGTTGGAAAGCAGACTGAACCAGGTTTTCCTCTAGGATTTTGCCTGTGCTTAGCTCTATTCTGTTTCTTTTTATCCTAAAAAAACTCCCTAGTCCTTTCCAATGACAAGCATAACCATAACATGATGCAGCCACCACCATGCTTGAAAATATGAAGAGGGGTACTCAGTGATGTGTTGTGTTGGATTTGCCCCAAACTTAACGCTTTGTATTCAGGACATACATTTTTTGCAGTTTTACTTTAGTGCCTTATTGCAAACAGGATGCATGTTTTGGAATATGTTTTATTCTGTACAGGCTTCTTTCTTTTCACTCTGTCATTTAGGTTAGTATTGCGGAGTAATTACAATTATGTTGATCCATCCTCAATTTTCTCTATCACAGCCGTTAAATTAGTTAACTGTTTTAAAGTCACCATTGGCCTCAAGGTTTCAATCCTCTCCGACAACTAAGATTAAGAAGGACGCCTGTATCTTTGTAATGACTGGGTGTATTGATACACCATCCAAAGTGTAATTAATAACTTCCCCATTCTCAAAGGGATATTCAATGGCTGTTTCTTTTATTTTTACCCAACTACCAGTAGGTGCCCTTCTTTGCAAGGCATTGGAAAACCTCCCTGGTCTTTGTGTTTGAAATTCGTTGCTCGACTGAGGGACCTTACAGATAATTGTATGTGTGGGGTACAGAGATTAGTTAGTCATTAACAAATCATGTTAAACACTATTATTGCACACAGAGTGAGTCCATGAAACTTATTATGTGACTTGTTAAGCACATTTTTACTCCTGAACTTATTTAGGCTTGTTTTAACAAAGGGGTTCAATACTTATTGACTCAAGACATTTTAGCTTTTCATTTTTAATTAATTTGTAAAAATGTATAAAAACATTATTCCACTTTGACATTATGGGTTATTGTCTGTAGGCCAGTGACACAAAATCTCAGGCTGTAACACAACAAAATGTGGAAAAAGTCAAGGGTGTGAATACTTTCTGAAGGCACTGTATTTCAACCATCAGTCCAGATGGGCTTTAATAAGATGATCTAAAAATAAAAAAATTAATACTGTAGTGAAGACATGTAAATCAATACGTATTTAGTACAAGTTGCCTATAAGACTATACACAGTGCACAAAACATTAGGAACACCTTCCTAATATTGAGTTGCACCCCCTTTTGACCTAGGAACACCCTCAATTCGTCGGGGCATGGATTCTACAAGGTGCCGAAAGCATTCCACAGGGATGCTGGCCCATGTTGTCTCCAATGCTTCCCATAGTTGTGTCAAGTTGGTTGGATGTCCTTTGGGTGGTGGACCATTCTTGATACACACGGGAAACTGTTGGGCGTGAAAAACCCAGCAGTGTTGCAGTTCTTGACACAAACCGGTGCACCTGGCAACTACTACAATACCCCGTTCAAAGGCACTTAAATATTTTGTCTTGCCCATTCACCATCTGAATGGCACACATACACAATCCATGTCTCAAGGCTTAACAATCCTTCTTTAAACTGTTTTCTCTCCTTCATCTACACTGATTGAAGTGGATTTAACAGGTGACATCAATAAGGGACTATAGCTTTCACCTGGATTCACCTGGTCAGTCTGTCATGGAAAGAGCAGGTGTTCCTAATGTTTTGTACACTTAGTGTAAATGATAAGATGTAATTTGTCAAAGCATTGAATCCGAACTCCAAAGTATTCCAATATTTCACAGAATTGTCCCAGGTACTGTTTTACACTGTCTGTGCCATGCTATATTTATTCATACGGTCATGGGAAGCAAGCAAAAATCATTCTGAGGAGGATTATTTATACATGAGAACAGGAAATGATATGAGAAACCTTCCTCTCCTGAGCCATTTCAATACATAGAACAATGGAATACCATTTTGAGGAAATGGACCACATTTGCTTCCCTAGTCACATTGGTCATTTATTTGTGACAAACTAGAGATGCATTGGTTTGTTAAACAAGGTCACTTGTAACAAACAGCAGTTGTTCTTGCAAAGTTCTCTCTTTCACCCAACTTCAGAATGTTAGGAATTACATTTGATCCTGCAAAATTACAGATGAGGTCTTTCAGACAAAGGGATGTCCATAAGATTGATTGTTTTGTATAGTTTTCCATTGTGAGAGCTCTTTGAAGTTGACTCTGTTTGTGGGAACGATTGTTTTTGCTCATGAAATACAGTGCAATAGTTTTCAAATAACCCTGCAAACAATACCCAAAGTGGTACCATTAAATTTGTAGAAACCTCAGTATGACAGCTGTCAGTAGCCTAGTTTAGAGGACACATATGTCACCTCCAACAGGTCTTTAGAAAAACCAAATTAGTCACTTTCAAATGGTCTTTGGCATGTTCCGGTCAACTGCAACTCCTTGGCAGCCACCACAACTTTCCCTCATACCTAGCTCTGTCCTGCTCCTGGAACAAGCTTGGCCCCTTGGTGTGCAAGTTTCATAAATCCTTGAAGAAATCAGTGAAAAAAGAACAATATTCTTAATGTTGTGGAAAGGGACTTGTGGCAGAGAGAATATACCATTACGGCTCGCTTTCCACAAAATAAAACATCTAAGACTGAGGTGTTGGATCATACTCGGTTATGATGAGTAATAGTCTGTTGGTCTCCCAAACCGATGGTCAGATATGAGTAAAGGTTGCCTACCTCTTCATCACCACTGGAAAGGATGCCTCAGAGTGAGAACATTTAGACCTATTAATTAATCCAATTTATTGCTTAAGCTATATGGTCCCTCCCTTGGGGGCTGTAGTGCTCTGCAATGGTTACAGAGCTATAAATCTGAGCTCCATTCCCAAGGTATTTAGTACGCTGCCTCCCAGGACTGACAAGTCTTTGGCTGGACAAACTATTTCCACCCTGTCACAGAAAGACTTCATCAACTCACAGTGCAGCAGTGCAGGCTCCTGGGTTGGTTTCTTACCTAGACAACAGATGCACATACTCTAGCCTAGCAGTCCAGTGCTGTTTGTGCTTTAGCCATGTCGTATAGCATGACAATGATAAGAGTTGGCTACTGTAACCGGGTTACAGATACTGTATTTTGTCATGTTTTATATTTGCCTCTCTATTAAGGCGCTGGTGTGCTGTATATCCACTGGTGGTTCACCATGGCTAATAACTTTTTGGTAGTGGATTCCAACTCTGCTTTCAGACATGTTACTGGATGAGGTGTTTAGAAAGTGTTCTGGGTTTGGTTAAACTGGGGGTCACTGGTTGGAGGTGACCTGTGTCAAGGGATTGACTGTGACCTGCCATTCTCAGGGCGACCATTAACATTCCACCATTCCACTGGGACTGGGTCCGTTTATGGGGTAGCAATGTAACAGACTCTCCCCACAGAGATAAATAATGCCACTTTGGCCTCAAGGTTGACTAGAGTTGAACTTCAACCTCTGCCCTCAAACCCAAGCACCCCCCCCCCCCCTTCGTTCAGAGAGAACAGCTTCATTAAATGCTTGGTGGTGATCAAATTTGTTGAGGTGCAGAGAATGTAAATGTAAGAAGAAAATGTAACACTTATCATCACAGTGTTTGGTGAAAATTAACTGCCAGTTTAATAACCATACTTTAAACCTGCAAATACCATGACGAATCTCAGCAAGATCTAACAAAATGACAGGGCTGAGTGACACCCACACACACACACACCATCAAGTCTCAAGTCATGACATGTTTGATTGAATTCTACCCCTAATCTTGTCCATTGTGCTTACATATCATTATTTGGCAGGTTTCAGTATTCTTTGAAATGTTACACACAGAAGTGTTTATTTGAGTTTTTGTTATCAGAAGAGGTCTGGTGTTCATACCAGCTCAGAGCTCTCAACATCCTATCAAACTCCAATCCCTCCCTGCTCACTGAAACCTCTGCCTTTACAGCTAACAGGAGGCGAAAAATAATATATATGAGATATTTTCTTTGACTTCCACACGATAAATAACATCTAGCGCCAAATCTACCATGGGTGTTCTGTTGTTACCATGGTCGCCAGTATCCACATTTCACAACTAATCCCAACAGCTTAATCTCAACATGCCATACTGATAGTAAATGTGACTAAATTGTAGCTGACACATTTAAGCATGCCTCTCACAACGGAGGCCACATAGTTCCAGTGTCTACTGGTTACCCATTGTTGACAGTCGGCAGCTTGCCAGGCCAACTATATGTGCTGTAATCTGGAAAAGTAGATTAATGGTCCACAGGGACCCTAGGAAGTACTGTTTATTTTCTTAATTGCCTGAAGTTAGTGCTCGAGAGTGCAGGAGTCGGCAGGTTGTAGGGCGAGAGAATGGGAGACTGAAAGAGAGGAGGAGATTGAGGACCAAATTAATGGCACAGTCAGATTTCTGTCTACCAAGGTTGAAGAATATAAGTCAAACAAAAAAGGCCTACTCAACTGTCTGTCTCTATAGAGTATGAAATGCTTATTCTATACTGAACAAAAATATAAATGCAACAATTTCAAAGATTTTACTGAGTTACAGTTCATTTAAGGAAATCAGTCAATTAAAATAAATAAATTAGACCCTAATCTATGGATTTCACATGACTGGGCAGGGGCGCAGCCATGGGTGGTCCTGGGAGGACATAGGCCGACCCACTTGAGAACCAGGCCCACCAACTGGGGAACCAGCCCCAGCCAATCAGAATGAGTTTTTCCCCACAAAAGGGCTTTATTACAGACAGAAATACTCCTCAGTTTCATCAGCTGTCCGGGTGGCTGGTTTCAGACGATCCTGCAGGTGAAGAAGCCGGATGTGGAGGTCCTGGGCTGGCGTGGTTACACGTGGTCTGCGGTTGTGAGGCCGGTTGGACGTACTGCAAAATTCTCTAAAACGACGTTGGAGGCGGCTTATGGTAGAGACATTAACATAAAATTCTGGCCTTTTATGGCCTTTTATCGTCCCCAGCACAAGGTGCACCTGTGTAATGATCATGCTGTTTAATCAGCTTCTTGATATGCCACACCTGTCAGGTGGATGGATTATCTTGGCAAAGGAGAAATGCTCACTAACATTAGGCCCTTATCTATGGATTTCATATGACTGGGAATACAGATATGCATCTGTCGGTCACAGATAGACACATTTTAAAAAAGGTAGGGGCCTGGATCAGACAACCAGTCAGTATCTGGTGTGACCACCATATGCCTCATGCAGCACGACACATCGATAAAATGCATTTGTGTTTGTTGTCCATAGTTTATGTCTGCCCATACCAAACAGTGAGGGAAAAAAGTATTTGATCCCCTGCTGATTTTGTACGTTTGCCCACAGACAAAGAAATGATCAGTCTATAATTTTAATGGTAGGTTTATTTGAACAGTGAGAGACAGAATAACAACAAAACAATCCAGAAAAACGCATGTCAAAAATGTTATAAATTGATTTGCATTTTAATGACTGAAATAAGTATTTGACCCCTCTGCAAAACATGACTTAGTACTTGGTGGCAAAACCCTTGTTGGCAATCACAGAGGTCAGATGTTTCTTGTAGTTGGCCACCAGGTTTGCACACATCTCAGGAGGGATTTTGTCCCACTCCTCTTTGCAGATCTTCTCCATGTCATTAAGGTTTCGAGGCTGACGTTTGGCAACTCGAACCTTCAGCTCCCTCCACAGATTTTCTATGGGATTAAGGTCTGGAGACGGGCTAGGCCACTCCAGGACCTTAATGTGCTTCTTCTTGAGCCACTCCTTAGTTGCCTTGGCCGTGTGTTTTGGGTCATTGTCATGCTGGAATACCCACCCACAACCCATTTTCAATGCCCTGGCTGAGGGAAGGAGGTTCTCACCCAAGATTTGATGGTACATGGCCATGTCCATCGTCCCTTTGATGTGGTGAAGTTGCAGTGCTAGCTGTGCCACTAGAGAACCTGGTTCGAATCTAGGCTCTGTCGTAGCCGGCCACGACCGGGAGACCCATGGGGCGGCGCACAATTGGCCCAGCGTCGTCCAGGGTAGGGGAGGGAATGGCCGGCAGGGATGTATCTCAGTTGGTAGAGCATGGCGTTTGCAACGCCAGGGTTGTGGGTTCGATTCCCACGGGGGGCCAGTATGAAAAATATATATATTAAAAAATAATGTATGCACTCACTAACTGTAAGTCGCTCTGGATAAGAGCGTCTGCTAAATTACTAAAATGTAAATGTAAATGTAATGCGGTGAAATTGTCCTGTCCCCTTAGCAGAAAAACACCCCCAAAGCATAATGTTTCCACCTCCATGTTTGACGGTGGGGATGTTGTTCTTGGGGTAATAGGCAGCAATCCTCCTCCTCCAAACACGGCGAGTTGAGTTGATGCCAAAGAGCTCAATTTTGATCTCATCTGACCACAACACTTTCACTCAGTTCTCCTCTGAATCATTCAGATGTTCATTGGCAAACTTCAGACGGGCATGTACAGTATATGTGCTTTCTTGAGCAGGGGGACCTTGCAGCGCTGCAGGATTTCAGTCCTTCACGGCGTAGTGTGTTACCAATTGTTTTCTTGGTGACTATGCTCCCAGCTGCCTTGAGATCATTGACAAGATCCTCCCGTGTAGTTCTGGGCTGATTCCTCACCGTTTTCATGATCATTGCAACTCCACGAGGTGAGATCTTGCATGGAGCCCGAGGCCGAGGGAGATTGACAGTTATTTTGTGTTTCTTCCATTTGCGAATAATCGCACCAACCGTTGTCACCTTCTCACCAAGCTGCTTGGCGATGGTCTTGTAGCCCATTCCAGCCTTGTGTAGGTCTACAATCTTGTCCCTGACATCCTTGGAGAGCTCTTTGGTCTTGGCCATAGTGGAAAGTTTGGAATCGATTGATTGATTGATTGCTTCTGTAGACAGGTGTCTTTTATACAGGTAACAAGCTGAGATTAGGAGCACTCCCTTTAAGAGTGTGCTCCTAATCTCAGCTCGTTACCCGTATAAAAGACACCTGGGAGCCAGAAATCTTTCTGATTGAGAGGGGGTCAAATACTTATTTCCCTCATTAAAATGCAAATCAATTTATAACATTTTTGACATGCGTTTTTCTGGATTTTTTTGTTGTTATTCTGTCTTTCTCTGTTCAAATAAACCTACCATTAAAATTATAGACTGATCATTTCTTTGTCAGTGGGCAAACATACAAAATCAGCAGGGGATCAAATACTTTTTTACCTCACTGTAACCCCACCGCCACCATGGGGCACTCTGTTCACAACTTTGACATCAACACACCGCTCGCCCACACAACGCCATACACGACGTTGGAGGCAGCTTATGGTAAAGAAATTAAGATTCAATTCTCTGGCAACAGCTCTGGTGGACATTCCTGCAGTCAGCATGCCAATTGCAAGCTCCCTCAAAACTTGAGACATCTGTGGCTGTGTTGTGTGACAAAATTGCACATTTTAAAGTGGCATTTTATTGTCCCCAGCACAAGGTGCACCTGTGTAATGATCATGCTGTTTAGTCAGCTTCTTGATGGATTATCTTGGCAAAGGAGAAATACTCACTAACAGGAATTTAAACAGATTTGTGCCCCAAAAAAATTTGAAATGTGCTTATGCTTTTTGTGCATATGGAACATTTCTGGGATCTTTTATTTCAGCTAATGAAACATGGGACCAACACTTTACATGTTGTGTTTGTATTTTTGTTCAGTATACAGTGCATTTGGAAAGCATTCAGACCCCTTGACTTTTTATATTTTTGTTAAGTGTAGTTGAAAGAAAGTAGAATAATCTGCATCTCTTTTAGGATGGCAGGTAGCTTAGTGGTTAAGCGTTGTGCCAGTAACTGAAAGGTCGCTGGTTCTAATCCCAGAGCCGACTAGGTGAAAAATCTGTCGATGTGCCCTTGAGCAAGGCACTTAACCCTAATTGCTCATGTAAGTCGCTCTGAATAAGAGCGTCTACTAAAATGTTTTAGCTATTTTGTGATATGTTCCCACCATCCACAATTGCTAAACCATACTTTAGAAATTATATCTTGATTAAAACAACCAGGTTAAAGTGATGCAGCAGCGTTTTGTATAATTTCAGGCAGTAGTTTTGAAAGTAGCGCTCACGAGCAAAAACGGCCCTACGAAGATTGTGCACAATTGTGTACGTCATCCATTTCACATGATACGTTACAGTACGTCCTGCAATTTTGCAATTCGTATGATATGTTACGAATTTGTAAGTGCTTAAAATCACATTATGTAACCCAATAGATAATCTTACTTCACAGCTGTGGATTGCATTTTAGAGTTTCACTCTCAAGTTCCAGTCTATATTTAGAAAGTTTCAGATTCAACATGCACAACGAGGACAGCAGGACATATTAAATCAAAATCAGTAACTGGGTTTTGGGAAGAAATAACATTTTTCTAGCATATTATTTATTTTCCTGGGCTAAGCCTTACACAACAATGAAATAAGGCAGGATCATCTTCAACGGTTACAGTTGTTTCCTGATTATAGTGCAATAATTCCGATTTTCTATCCACACCAGGCCTACATTGAACGAATTGGTTAGTAAGGTACAATACTTAAGCGCCGCAGTGGTTTTATATATTTTAACCCGCAGCACAGCTTCTTGAGGATTACTTGAACATAAAGCAAATCACTGAGGAAGTTATACAATAGTAGGCCTACATATGTTTTCTGGGAATATGAAGAAATGATCGTATCCGCCTATTTCACATGGCGTTTGGGGATACAGGAAGCAATCAATCGAGAGGAACGGATGTCATTCGCAGGCTAGCTGTTACACCAGCCACCTTCCATGGGAAAAGGCCTCCCACACCAACAGAACGGTTACGGAAAAATCTCATGCAGCCGAGCCTTTCATCTGGGAATCTGGGATGGATGGACACACACGGCTGAGGTCGGTCTCCATGGCGATGGCCATTGTATCACAGTGTTTTTATGTTCTACCACTGCTCAATGGCTAATCCAAACCCAGGTCTCCTGAGGTATCTGTTGAAATTATCACAGTTTTCCAACCTCGGAGTTGGGTCGGGTTCCCGGGTCAGTGACTCCCCCGGTGGACATGGCCCTCTGCAGGTTGTGTACAGGACAGTTGTTAGGGATCACAGTATAGAATAATCTACATACAGACAACTCAGGACAGCCACTGTTGCTTTTACATCTTATATGATCACGCAATTGTAGTTTTTATAGTGAAAACTATAACTTGATGACCTGGCGTGATCACAACCCACTGGGCACAGACGTCAATTCAACGTCTATCCCGCATTGGTTCAACGTAAGTTAATTGAAATGACGTGGAAACAACGTTGATTCAACCAGTGTGTGCCCAGTGGGAACATTCTGCAGCTATAACTGTGGTAACAGGGTTTGGCCACCTCTGTTAGCTGTGGAGGGGAAGCAACAGAACAGCACAGAACAAGCTGTCCTGGCTAATTCCATGTGCTTTCACTTGCTGCCTTGCCATGTCTACCTATGAAATATGGACCCCGCTCCTTGTTGAACAAGTCGTACGAGGCGCTATCTGAGCCCTGGTGACAGGACCCTCTGCCGGGGCTGCCTCTCACAGACGCTGTCCCCCCCCCCGTCCCCCCCCCCCCCCCCCCAAAACGTTAAGCTCTGTCTTCCTCCTGGAAAAGCCATCAGGAGCATCAGGGACAGCACAGACCTGTAGGAACTCTGGTGGTTGCCAGTCTCAGGCTCCCCTGTGGCTGGATGCTAAAATTGAGAGAGCAGAGGGGCCAAGCTGCAAAGTTTATCACCACACTGCTGCCCATAGGTGCCGCAGCAGGGAGCCAGCCATCATGGCAACCCATCCAGATCATCACTAACAGGGGGGACAGCGCAGCCTTAGGCTATGGGCCTGTTGGGGGGGGGGGGGGGGGGGCATATGCTGTTTGGTGAGATAAACATTCAACGTTATTGTGGCCATTGAGACAGAAGTCAAGACAGGGCTTCAACCAGTAACCCCATGGTAACAGGGTAAGTGTCCACCTGTGTCATAAGGTCCACTTTTAGACAGAGGCCATACAACTAGTAAGATACATGAGGCATGGAGGTCCTCAACTTTATTTAAAAGAAGCTACTTTTATTTGAATGCATGTGGTCTGGTTATCAAAATATCATTGTCAGAGTACAAATCATGCTGCTGACACAATGTCTTCTACCTACATGGTCCTGTTTCAGGTAATCTTTCAACAGCCAATATTTCATAGGTAGAGTGCTGTAAATGTCATGATGACCACTGACGTTCACCTGCCAGCCAGGGAAACGACCAAATCGCCCCCCTTTGATTCTGTTTAGACATATTGCAAGACATTTAAGCGAGCCCTACATTGCGTCAAGGTTTGTTTTTATTTTCCTTTTAAAAAGAAATTGCAGATGTTGTCATTTGCTCGCTCATGGAGAAAAGGGCCCAGCCTTGTTGAAGTAAGCCTGACATTTCCAACAAGAGGTGGCCAAGTCTCAAAACAGATGTTTACCGTTTTTCTTAGGATGATTTGTTCTCTGCTCAATATTGATCCCAGTCCAAGCATAACCACACTCTCCTCCCTAGAGCACTGCGTAACAGAATAGGAAAGCGAGGGCTTTCCTCTTAGGCTGAGACCAGGTGCGTGTATGCGTGTGACCGTGTGTCCATGCATGTTAGTATATGTGAGAGTGTAAGTGTGTTGTGTACTGTATGTGAGTTTGTCTCTGTGTGTACGTGTTATAAGAATGTGTGTACTGTGTATGTCCTTTACCTGTGTACCATGCGTTCAGGCAGCCCTGGATGGCCCTCCACTCGCGGGGTCACCACAGAAGCCATTAAGCAGCGTGGCTGGTGGAATAATGTGTTTGACTTGGCCGGCCGGGCAGGAACAGGTGCTGGGAGGGAGGCTCTGCTCATGGCTACTACTCACTGGCTCCTTTGATGTGGTCCAGGGTCAGCTGTCTCTCCCCTCCCTCTCTCTGCTCCTGCTAGAGGACTCAGCCCTGCTGCAGGCTGAAGCCCCACACAACTGCTGCTGACAGGCTTGTTAGACCTAAACAATACAACAGGGTATATCATATTGAGTGTAAGTTTAGATTTATAGACCAAATCGACCCTGGAAAACAAGGCAAGTGCTGCCAGGGTCTGAAATTCAACAGGTTAAAATGACATATAGTGATGTAATTCTTTTTTGTGTGTTTTTAAAATGCTATGGCATACAAAGTGCAGGCTAACACATAGTTAGAATGGATGACAAATACAAAAAGCTGAATGTTCTGAAAGTTCTTCTTCCCCTGCTTAAATTGTGTTAATGTCAAGACGAACTATTCCAAAGTGACTCCAATCCACAACAACAACAACAATGTTCTGACATTATGATGCCGGGTGGTCAGAGACAGAGGCCAGAGCGCTCTGTTAAGTCCCACGACTGCAGGGCCGAATGACATGATAGCAGCGTGTCGCGCACTTAACGTGGCCAGGCAGGACATGAGTAACGCTGCTTTTAGCTCCAGGCCTCTGTACCTCAAGGTAAAGTCATTAGGGGCTGAGGATCAGCCTGAGATGAAGCGGCCCACTTGGGTTCAGAGAGGGAGAGGATCAAAACTAAAGCGCAGGCCGTCACAGGGCCCTGAAAGAAAGTTGCCTTTATTGGAAAAGCCCACTCCCTTACATTCCTCTGCCAAGACACTGGCCCTGGCCTGGGCCTCCCCAGAGTAGTGAGGATGGGAGACTGACTCAGACACAGGGTTCTGTTGTCTGGAGCTGTGCCACACACAGACATGCACACACACACTCTCATTGTAAACACACACACAGCGCACACACACACTCATTGTGCTGTCAGTCTCTTACTCAACATGATACACGGTGGCTAAGTAGCAGCAGGAATACTCAATTTCCTGAATCTTATAAAACGCAATTGATTGATTTATTGGGTTTCAGGGCTTGTTTCAAATTGGATATTAGATGTGCTTTAGCGATCTCATTCCAGAGCCTTCGGTTGAAAGGAAAGGGCTGCTCAACGATGGCGCACCTGGACGGGGTTGTTCCAATATAAGGGTAGAAAAAAATCCATTCAAGGGCCTGAGCTTGACCAGAATATTATCTTATAATTCATAACCAAAATGAAAAGGCCTGATGTTAAAAGGAAAATATATACATAAAAGAGATTTAGAAGATTAAAAAGAAAAGGCTGACTGGGAACCATTCCCAGTATAATGTATAGTGTGTGCCTGGGAAATAGAGAGAGCCCTCCTACGTTTGGAGAGGTTCATGTTGAGGAGATGAGAGCAATACAGCACTCTGTCATCTACCGATGATCCGTGTGATCGAATTTGACCACAGAGAGGAACTGAGAGAGGGAAGGTTATCATGGAGATTTCCTGCCGTCCCTGCTACTTCACTCACCACGAGAAAGGCTGACTGGACCGTGGCTCCTGAATCATCTTTTATATTGTGTCCAGCTATTACATCTCTGTTTGCTGAATTATTTCCTGAAATCATCAATATGCCAACAACGAGTGATAAATAACTGATAAAAGGGTTGGGGAATGGTTTTGCCATGATCGTTTACCGATAGATTTCATTAAATCATTTCCTTTATTTCACAACGTCAAAACGGGAAACATTGTCAAGGGAGGATGTAAATTCAGCGTACAACAAGCTGGCACTGAGTTTAGAGGTAAAGTAAGGTAAAGAGATTCAGCTTATCCCTACATGCCCCAATTGAATGTATTGGTGTACTGAATTGTTGTTCACGCAGATACTACCTGCTCTGGGGAGGTTTAAGCAGGAGTTAGATACTTTTTTGCCCCTTGTTAAAAATGGTTGTTCCTTTTCAGGCCACACTTGCGTTTATTGACAGGGTTATCTTTGTACGACTACGGGTATCGTGGTCTAACAATGTTTGGCAAAGCCTTGATTGAGAGGCATTCTCAAATCTCTCAGAATGAACACTTCACATTCCTCTGTGTTGTGACTGATAACGGGTTGCTTGTAGAGGTCACTGTTATTGTTCTCATTAAAACCTTCTACATTACCTGTTAGCCAACAATGAGCAGTAGTCTAAAAACACCCGTCTGATAACAACCATAGATCTCCACTGTCCCCTGAAGGCACACAGATAACCTCTTATCAATTAACTTACATGGAGATAGAGGAATCATAACAGTTTTCCCCCCTTCCCGTCGTCATTCCAAATGACTGGCCATGGGAGATGACCTGATATCCTGCCAGACAAAAATATGTGGAACCAACATTGGTTAGACGTTGGGAGTGACAGAAACCTTTCAAATAGTTATTATTTATAAATAGTACCTGGTATATAAAATAAAAAAATAAACTTTAGAGTTATGTAGTTGGCAAAGGATCCAGACATTCCACAACTTCTAGACAACAACAAGCGGCAGGTTCCCAGTAGAGGCCGGCATATGATGACAAGTCATTCTCCACGTCTTCTCTGACCATTGTTCTGGCCGTGATTGACTGAGGAAGGTGTTTGTTGTTGCTGGCCCTTATCTGGGTTTCTTGGACTTGGCAGGGACAAGTAGCGCGAGGCTGTGCCCAAGCAGACCAAAAACACAGACGTCCCTCAGAGATGATTTGACGTTGGTGATACAGTACATAGCAAAAGTGTGAGTGAACTTATTTGTTGAAGAAGGAATTCCATTTGAATCCCTTTCTAATTGCTTTTATATGCCACCTCGTACTCATTTTCGAAACTGGCAGTCTGAGTATAACCATGCTACCCCTCAGATTTTTTAACATTTGTTAATTCATTATACTGCAGTTCTTACGAGCTTATTCGCCCCACTTAGCAATTCTCAGGGTGAACATTTGCCACTGCCAAAGAATTCATATTACTACCTGCATCAGCGTTCACACAGGACCCATCCACCGACTCCCTGTGGTGTTGTAATACTAGGTTATTAACTGGGAAGCACACCCAATTGTTCATTGCCATTTTCATTTGGACCCCACAGTAATTGAGTGAGAGGCCTATTCTGTGATACAATGCAGGGGAGTGGGTGTATGGAGGCTACATCTCAGGGGCTGTTATAATGAATGCTTCTGTAAATGAATGCCCTCCACTTCACATTGTTCCATCGCTGACTTAAAATTGTTTTCCTTTTCAGCCCTCATTGACTAAGATGAAAAGTGCCAAGGGCCCCTGTCAGGCTTTCAGAAGCAGCAGTCCAGTGAGGGTTTATTGGTCCTGAATGTGTGAGAACACTGGGAGTCGGGACAAGAAGAGCGGGCTGCAGACTGGAACAGCTATAGCACTCCACTCTTTGATCTCCACTTCAGAAGGAGTGGAGGTGATAAAAGCAGTGAGCCGAGAGACTATCCTAATACACATGGGTTATATTAGGTATATTCAATAAGAAAGCACAGACTGTGATTTCAGAGGTGAGGGAATAGCTTTCCATTCCACTCCAGACTCATCCTGAAACACACACCATCCATGCCATTCCAATTGATGTGGCCCCTCTTTTGTTTTGGAGAAACCGAGGCAGGCTAAGATCATAAATTTCCTAATCTGTGTCTCCATAGTCCCCCCGTCAGGACTGCCGGTCTCCGGGTGCTTTTCCCCTGACGATTTATGTTGGCAGGGAACTGTAGTCAGCTCCTCGACTGGGATCGCCACGCTTTTTCCATAACAGGAAGAACACAATGGCTCCGATAGACAGAGGAGACGAAAAACAAGCCTTGGTTCCTGAGGCACGCGGCGGTGGGCCGATAACGCTGGTGTCAGCTGGTACCCGACTTGCTCCGCACTCATCTTCCCGGAACTGCGAGTCTATCGGGGAAGGCTGAGAGGCAGTACCTGTACGAACCGCCACAGGCCAGGTGGCTTTCCTTTGAGTTCAATGTCCACCATCACCTCGATCCCTGTCTCAAAGGTCATTGACCTGAGTGGACGTCTGCTTGGTACAGTGGGACATCCTCCAAACTAAGGTTAAGGGTGCACCAGCTTCTCACAACACCAGAGGACTTAATAGGGGCGAAGGGCTTAGAGTACTTTCTCATGAATAGCTAACACTCTGACTTTGTTGACCTTTCGGAATATATCCGGGCAGTTTTTTTCTCCCAGTCTCGAGCTAAACTGAAAAAATAAACAGGGCCAGATGAAAGGTGCCTTGTTGGTGGAGGTGGGCTGCGTTTCCGGATTGTCACTCCTCATTAAGTGGTGATGGGCTGTCTGGCTTTGGCCAACTGGGCCCAGTCAGGGCTGGGTAGGGGAGTGAGTTCTCCCTTGGCTGCACTTTGCCTCTACAACATCTGCTGGCACGGGCATGCCCTCTCTGATCTCTGATGACACACAGGCCAGGGCGCCCGCCCGCCCTGACGCCAGTCACTCACAGAGGGCGACCCAGTGCGACCGGACAGCAGCAGCGCCATTGCGGATCACCGCGAGCCAAGTGGAAAAGACTGTGCCTCTGCCTTCCATGAAACGGGATACCAAGCTGTTCGAGACCGGCTGTCAGACGTGTCAAAAGAAATTGCTGAACTATGTAGTATACATTCGTGTCGAGAGAAAGAAACCACACTTGAGCCGTGCAGAGTTTAGCAACGCTTTATTTTACTTATACTGATTGATGAGGTCAGCATCCCCCACGCAACAATTAAGTCTTGAGTAAGGGGTCCATTCTGTGTTGATGACAGCCATTTTAAATACTTATTCTGTCACTTTCGACCTGAGATACATTCCTGACCTGCTGGGAACAGGATATGTCAGGGTGCCCATCCATCCATCAGTCTAAACAGCCTGCCATTGTCCAGTGAAAATAATTTCTCTAAACACAACACTTGCATTGTCGAGAAGGAACTTGCAAGTAAGCATTCATTGGACAATGTGTATTCCGTACATAAGACTAATAAACCTTCACGAAGCACTACAAGTCTACCTCTCCATTTAACAAGGGTACATAACAGGCCTGAGGAAACACCACTAAATAATGTCTGCAATTGACAGTTTGAGCTGGCTTCAGTGAAGCCATTTTTAAATGTATGTATTTTGAGAGGTTGCTTGTTGTACTTGATGTCAGAGGTTGACTGTTCTCTATTCTGAAGAGTTGGTGAGGGATGCCTAGTTGGGGTAACTGCTCAGTGAGTAAAGTTTGAGATGTTGACCCAGCTTTGAGTAGCGCTTCTGACATTAAACATTTTCACGTAGCTTTAAATATCTAATCTCTGTGCCAAATCCCAGTCACTTTTCTTATTCGGCTTGAGGCAAACAAAAATCTATCCACACCTCCAAGCATGATTCCATAATAAATCTCAAAATGTTAAAAGCTTCACAGCCAAGGAAAAATCATGTTATTGCTGGTTTAGAAATGACCTTTTTCAGAAGTTTACATATTCCATGTGCTTAGAACAGAAAATTTTAATTTGGATGGGCTGTGAAAATGCCACGTTGTTAATCACACTTTCTTACTTGTGATCTGGAAAATGTTTACTTTTGTGCAGCACTAGTGCTCAGAAGTCCTCTGTTAGTGCCAATGACTAAGTACCGCATCAATCAAATGCAACACCTTCATTTCACACAAGCATACAGACCACAGGAGGCTGCCGAGGGGAGGACGGCTCATAATAATGGCCGGAACAGAGCGAATGGAATGGCATCAAACATGTGTTTGATACCATTCCACCTTTTCTGTTCCAGCCATAACTACAAGCCCGTCCGCCCCAATTAAGGTGCCACCAACCTCCTGTGATACAGACACACGTGGACGTACACACACACCGAGGATCAGAAGCGGGAGAACTTGGCCAAATCCTTCTTCATCTCGCTGTACATGACGCTGAGGCGTCCGACAGCCTTGGCGTGCTCCTCGTCTACCTCCTCCTTCAGACGAAGCTGCTCCTTCAGAAACTCATCCCAGTCCTCCTTCCGTCTGTCTATGGTCACTTGCAGCTGGGTGCTCTGAGGTTCACAACACACAAGGATGTGGGTTAGGCAGACACGAGACAAAACATTTTAAAACTAGACAAAACAATGAAACAAAATGAAAATACACTTGGAGAGATTTAGGTGGTACTCAGTTATCTCCTGTTTAGTGCCAAATGACCACGACTCTGGTATGTTGTCACAATCATTGCCTGAATGTAAATGACTGTCAATGGTTAAATAACATTGGTAATTCATGGACTTTGAGGAGAGCATGCGTCTTTACCTGCTGTGCTTCTAGCGCCCTCTGCTGGATCCTCTGTGACATGTGATTCGCAGCCTCCACTGTAGGAAAACACAATGAACAAATGTTACATTCAACTACTTTCTGGCCTTAACAGTAAGACACACTGAAACAATACAATACAGTTGAAATTCTGTGACACATGAATGTAATACGTCTTTTTCATTATGTATCGGACCCCAGGAAAACTAGCTGTCGTCATTGCGTCTGCTAATGGTGATCCTAATAAAATAAAATCGAACAATACAATAACTCAATCACTCCATATCACAACTGCAGTGGCTAGCAATTGAAATATACACCGGCTAGGTAAGGAAGAGAGTCTTACATCGTGTGAGGGCCTCATAGAGGTGCTGATGCATGTGCTCTGAACACTTGGGCAACATCTGCTCGTTGGTCTCCACTACCATTTTGTTCAAGTTGTCCAGCAAACGGCTCTCTCTAAATCCACGTTTCTCCTTCAAAATCACAAAGAAGTAGATGTTAACAAATGACAATTCCTAAATTAGTCAAATCATATTGTACTCCCCATTATGTTACGGTGCATCTTTCCAAGCTGAATATTTACCTCAAATTCTCTCACAAAGTAGCGGATCTCCCCTTGTACAACAGGCCTATGGTCTATTAGCCTAGACTGAATATCACCAACATCTAATGGGAGCAATTGATAATGTCAGATATATTGAAAAGTAACAACTTCATTCTAGTGCTTGCAGTCATTTCATCCAAAGGAATTCATGAAGTGTCCCCAGAGAAAATAATGAAACATGAATAATTGACAGCAAAATAATCTGAATTCATATTAATTTAATATCAATTTAGCCCCTGAATTGATTGGGGGGGGGGGGTAAAGGAAATCTAGATAAGGAAAAGTCATAATTACTCCGAAAACTACCGTTTCTATTGGCAAGGTTCAGCAAACAGGGCGGAACATACTTGAATTTGTCCAATAGAAACGCTAGTTTTCGTTGCAAATAGAATGTTTTGCAACTGTTTGGATTACACCCCAGGTGAAGCTGCGTAAACAGATCTGGGATCAGGCTAGAGGCTTCAAATTGTGTGCGTTAATTCTGCAACACATGACTCTCCCGAGTTGTGCAGGCTAGCTAGCGAGTTACCTGCAATTAATGATAACCGTAACACGATATTGAACTCACCTTTGGCGATCTTGTCCATAGTTACGCGTTAATACACAAAAAAGCAAATAGTTAAACCTCGACAATACGTGCAATGTTTGTTTAGCAGTTGGTTAGGGTTGAATGAGTTTGCTTAGCTAGCTTTCAACCTCTTTTCAACGAGATAGATATTCACGAGATATTTACATGCAATTTATCATATATGAGTTTGCAAATATTTAGCTCCAGCGGCTGTTAAACGTAGCTTAAATATATTCTAGCAAAAACTGTAACTGTTGTCAGCTGATTTAAAGTCAGCTGATATAAATACTCGAACTACTTCCGGGTACGAGGTCTTGGCTCAAACCAAACCTCCCAAAACGGGGGCCACACTTACATGAGGTAAATTCTGAGGTACAGTAGGTACAGGACAGACTATACAACATCATCATCAGTCATCAATATAATACATGTTTACACTGTAGGTGTAGCCTACAAATTTAGCAGCAAATTTCCATCGTTAATGGTTTATGATCTCTCTCTCTCTCTCTCTCTCTCTCTCTCTCTCTCTCTCTCTCTCTCTCTCTCTCTGTGTTTGTGTGTGTGATGAGGCATTTAAATTGCTATATTGTCATTGATGAATTGTAATTTATTCCAGGGCAATGCAATGATAATGATGGAGGATAGAGGTCTTGCATGAGTCAGGACTGCAGATGTCAGTCTTGCTCTATGGTGTGGCTTTATCAGGGAGTTCCACAGCCACATAAAGTATAATACTGAAGATGAGCCTGATGAGTCCCCTCTGCATACAATACAATGAATGGAAGTGTCTGTTAGCACAGAGAGATGATCCATTTAAATCCGTAAAATACACACATAACGCAACCCCATTCTAGCTGATGACAGTAGTAATTATAGGGATTGGCCATCATTTTGAGAGATTTCATCAAGTAATACCTTACTATGTGTGGCTGTCACATGGATTTAGAATATAAACATGATGCTGTGTGTGCAGTGTTGGCCATAGCAGGAAATAATAGATATGTCAATATAAATTGTGGATTTTAAAAGAGAGATTATCCACTACACCTCCCAACCCCTTGGTTCTGTGCATCGTCCATTCAACCAGTAAACTAAGTACTATAGTATTATGGGCCACTGTATCCTACCAAGACTGACCAAAGATTATGAATATGTACACATGTACAATTAGCCTAGATTATTTAGTCGGCTTGTTCTTCAAAAGTCATGCAGATATAATATAAAGAGTAGAAGTTTGAGATCACTTTGTAGACTATTTATTCTGGGTAATAGAGTAGCGCTTTAGTTTTTTAAATAAAGAGTGTGCTCCCTTAATTTGCCACTAGGTGAAAACAATGTCCACTCTTATTATTACCAGTCTGGTTAATGAGACCCTGCTTAGTGAATTATTTTGGGATAGAAAGTTCATGACATTTAACAATTTAAATGCAACTATATGACCTCCTCTCAGTGTAGGCCTATTTAGAGACAAGGACTCCTGGCAAGAGCACATTAAGAACATAAACATATTAGTATGTGTTAAGAAAGGGGGTTGTTTGGGTCTAGTGTTGCATGTTAAGACTTCAAACATTTGTTTTAAAAGAAGTGCCTGCTATTACTCAGAAATGCCACTTCCACTTAAAAGAAAGTCTTCAGACATGAGCTAATTCTCGTCCTGACCACATGATTGATTTTGATCTGAGTCTATTAAAGAGATTGCAGTCATGAGAAGTTCTTGTGGCAACTGATCAACTGCCATCGCAGAGTGCTCCAGGGCCCATCGACAAAGAGTGCATTAGTAAACTTTGACGTTTGTGAAAATAAGTAGGGGTGCTTTTAAATTGATTGCCTACAAACAAGGTCAGATACACCATGAAAGAATGACAAAACAACACGTACACAGTATGACAATGACATAACCTATTCCCTTGTTGTGTTTATAATGTACATGTGCAGCTGTGCAGCCAAATCATATTTTGATTAACTGCACAGCATTTCACAAATAATGGATCAAATATTTTGTTATACTCTAAAAATACTTATTCTTCTATTTAATTAACTTGTTTCATTTGGAGTACGCGTAATAGGCTGTAATGTAATGTATTGTAATGTAGATACAATGTAGTCTAATAACAGAATTTAAGAGTATAACATTATTATAGTTATGATGAAAATGTAATTACATGTTAACAGCCATGATATTCAATAAAAAACGAATAGACATTGCCAATTTGCTCATTAGAGCAGAAATAAAGCGAAGTAATCTCATAATTTACAGTTGTTGAATTATACATATACTTTTTTTTCAAATGTATTTCCACCAATAACTGTACATTATATTTTTATTGACTTCATGTAAAAGGATGAAATATGTTTTCTGTTCTGTAGTTGAGAGTGAATTAACACACTTTAATCACACCTAAAGAAATGAGTGAACTGAACTAAAGTCACAAAAGAGTGCACGATTGTGAAACTGAATGTACCTCATTACATGATTTTATTGTATCTCCACTGCTGCACAGAAGTAGTCATTAAGGCAGTGGTAGAAAAAGTACCCAATTGTCATACTTGAGTAAAAGTAAAGATACCTTTATGGAAAATGACTAAGTAAAAGTGAAAGTCATCCAGTAAAATACTACTTGAGTAAAAGTCTTAAAGTATTTGGTTTTAAATGTACTTAAGTACAGTGGTGGAAAAAGTACTAAATTGTCATACTTGAGTAAAAGTAGGACGTAAAAGTAAATGCTATACATCAAATTCGAGAAATGGCACTGTCTTTGTCCATTATTATCTACCAGGATTGTGTTCCAGTAAGGTTTGCATGTGATTGTCTCTTACATGAACCATATCATGGGTATACATGCATCTCTCTCACAGGTCTATTAAGTGAATTGAGTGACAGTGGTGATCTCTTCGTTGCACACTTCTGTTCTGAAATAGCAAGGCTTTTCAAGGGTAACTAACACAAAGTGGGGTGCATTCAAATAGTTTTTAAAGAAAGTAAAATAATAAAGTAAAATAACATTTTTGTAACAATGTTTCCTGCAATATTTCTAAAATAAATAAAATGTACAATCTTCATTAATAAGTTGTGAAAAATGATAAATATTTTCACAATGTGAAACAGGTTTATGAAACAATCCTCAACAATTTTAAATGTGGATAAATATTTAGCAATACATTTTGTAATGCGCAATTTATTCAATTAGCTACAATTGTAATTTCCCTTCATAGCATGTTGGTTTGTCTCCCATAATTTTGTTCTCATAGACCTCCACACACAGTATGGGAAACCACAGCCGTGCTCATCCCTTGCTCAGACTGCAGTAACGTGGCTGAGCTCCTAGAGCATTGAGTACTTAGACAAATGGTGAGTGTTCTGTGGGAGGTCTGGCTGAGTGGTTTACAAAACATACCCATCAGGCCTGTTAGCGTGGTGACGGCTTAGAAAACACATCTCTTTTTCTCTTCCTCTCTACACAGCCCCTAACGACGGTGCTGCTCACATTACCCAATGGGTATAATTATTTTGCATTACATTGCTCTCTGTCCCTCACTCTCTCTCCTCCTCCTCTCTCTGGCTCTGGTCATGATCTCTGGGCCCTTGGAGAAGGCCAGAGGGACCATGGTGCTTGGCGTTCACAGCACACTGAGCGCCAGTGACTGTGGCTCTGAACAGGTGCGGGTGGAGGGGGATGGATGGGTGGGATTACTCACTGCCTGGGCCCCTGGGCGGGGGCCCCTCCTGCCGTACACCCACCTGCCCCCCTCTTTCCCTCTCTCTCTCAGCCAGTCAGCCAGCTCACACTGCTCAGGTCAGTGATCCTGGTGCAACTCGCTGCATCCTGGAGGCTACTCCTGAGCTGCCCACGTCCACCGTGTCAGAGAAAGAGAGAGGCCCCAGGAAATAACTGGAGCCCCGGTAATAGTGGCACCTCAGGAGGCACGGCGGAGCAGGACGCTGCCCTGCTGTCATGTTCTACCGGGGCCAATGAAGCAAGGGGCCGAGCGGAGGAAGGCAGCAACAAGCAGCAAGAAGCAGCGGCATCCAAGTAGCTCACAGCCTGAAAATCAACATATGTAGTCATCATGTGCTTTTTGTGAAATTCTTTTTTTTCCGCCAAGCAACCTTGTCAGCCACGTCTTGCGATTTGTAAACTGCCCCTCCTTGGAGTGGAACGATTGTGTCGTTTACGATTAGTGTTCTCAGCGGGCCCCGGTTTGGGGCTGTCCCCAGGATTAGCGGGCCGCTGCGCTGTCACTTCTCCCATTCGGCCATCCGCCGCAACTATAATCCAACCAAAGGATTGCCTCATCCGAGTGCTGCGGTGTCCAAGTCAACTGCCGGCAACAGGCAGGGAGAGGCCCAAACCTGTTGAGGCAGACCCTCCCGCACCACGACGGCAATCAAAGTGACAGCCACGGGAGAGAAAGTAGGGACATTTTCTTTGCGTGAGCGAAATAAGTCCCCTGGCGGAACCCCCCCCAAAACACTTCTCCTTCTACCCCTTCACCATGTTGGCGGAGGAGTGGGGGCCAGTCTTGACGGTTGAGAAGTTTTTTGTGGGGCCGTGATTTTCGACGTGGGACAGAGGGGGCGCCCGGGGGCGGCTGTGTTTGGAGTGGTGCCTCGTCAGATTAGATGCACGCTGGCTGGGTTTGATGGCCAACCTGGACAGACATGCCCTGCCAGGCACAAACTGCTCAGGCACATGATGTCAGAAGGACAAAAAATTATCCACCGCGAGACCAAGGAGACAGATGACACCCAGCAGGAAGCGAGAGCCAAATCTGTAAGCATCCACAATCCAGCTGGCTAGCCCTAGGGTACCTGTCTCTCTGAAGTGGAATTCGCATCACCCCATGAGCTGTCAAATTAGCTCACAGGACTGGAAATGCTGAAAAGATTTGGCCCCTATAAAATGTTATTAATTCATTTTTGCTTCCTGTCCTGAGAAGACAGAAAAAACCCAAAAACAAAAACAGAAGAGTATAGGGAACAACAGAAGTCAGACCTGTGGAGGAACATACCGTAATCCCAATGCATGCATACACACATAACACACACACACACTTTATATACACACACACAAAAACACAAGCAGATGTACATGCCCAAACACACGCACATATAGTACACATGCATGCAACTGTGCGTGCACACACACCCTCACGCAGAGGGCGATCATTCACATGCACATACACATACACATACACAGACTCACATATACAGTGCCAGGGGCAAGTTTACAATTACTGCATGTGTTAAGCAGTCACCTGGGAGAGATGCACTGTGTTTGTGGAAAAATACATCCCCCAT